ACCATCTTTAAATAATTTTGGCAATTAACTCAACAATCTAAACATTTGGTTTAAAAGTCTTCCAGTACAATGTATGTATGCATAAGGGTACTAAAAGGTATTATATTTGGATATTTTTCATCTCAGCAGCTTTCGATGATGTCATTTATATAAAATGACTTATTGATTTCGTCTTAATTCACATTCACTTTAGAAATGAATTAGTTTATGCACTATTATTTTGTGACCTGTATTTTATATTGAACAGAGTTTGTTTTCAAATGATGATGTGTCAGTTATACTGCCAACGGATTTGTTAAAATACTCTTATACCAGCAATTTTCGGAAATAAAGTTTGACTTTAGTGTTCAAATACAAAATAATATGTCTATATTAGAAATATACTGCAAGCTGGCTACCTATAGATAAATAATGATTCACAGTCTAATGTATGAATCTACACCGACTACTTAGTTGACAAAAATAGGGCCATATATCATCAAAATCTTGAAATTTACCCCTATCAATTTCAGCAATTATGTAAAACTGTAATGAAAAGAAACTAATTGCAAACAGTTTTAATTGCTTCATTAACCTATATATGGTACCTGATTACCAACGCTTGTAACACTGCAACTTAGATTCAAATTCAAAACAATTTAACACTTATACCACATTTAGTGCATATATAATTGTCCTTAATTATCCTGTAGATTTTATTCCGAAGTACTTTAGGAAAGAGTTTCCAGTATTCTAAAGTCAAATACATCAGTCAGTTGCAGGTGAGAAATCGTCAAAGGTTTTGTGAATAGCGATATCCTTATTTTATGTTGTATTACCCATCCAAAGTGATATCGTGAAAGGCACATGTGTTCTTGATAAGCATTATTATTAAATGACTGCCACATCTGCTGTCGTGTTTACTGTTTCTCTGTCACTAGACGGGAAAGCATGTCATCAGGTGAAATTTTCACATTGCTTAGTTACGAATTTTTATGAAATTCAAAGACGAACTTCCTCATATATCCTATGTTTTGTCACGTACGAAGTTATAAACATACACTAATAATTATTATTTTTGATTGGTAATGAACTAAAACTGCTGATGTATTTGAGAAACACCCGTGAGAGAATCTACTGACATTCCTAACAATAGTAATAATAACAATACTGTGTTTTTATATCTGTCTTTTTAACTTCTGCTGACTTCAATTTACGTTGTAGCGGTAGAAGATAATGGACTCGGTAAACAGATGTTTATTTGAAATTTGGTATCTTTATATGTTGCAATAATGTACACATCATCTGAAAGTTGTCATTTTCGCAGATATCTTGTTTTGGGCTACTTCTGGGCGTCATATTATGTTTCTTTGTCTTCTTTTAATGTATCTCATGTATCTCGGCAAAACTGAGTCATTCCTTCTCTTTGATGTCAAATCTATCTCTCCGCTATTTGGCATTTTTGTGCCGATGAACTTTTCTTCATGTTATCATTATTCCCTTGGGTTCCGTGTTGAAAATAGGGCTTCATCAACACATCAATACTTTGTTCTATTTTCTGCAGTCATCTTCAAATGAGTCGACGATTGACCCTATTGTCTCATCTCTTTCCTGCACGATCTCATCCATGTCACCCTAGGATGATCCACTCGTCGCTTCCCATTTGGATTCTAGTCAAGAGACGGCATGCATTGTGTGAAATGTTATACGACGGTCTCCTCAATGCATGTCCGATCAATCCATCTCCATATTTGTTGAGCGATCGGCTCTTGGTTGGTTTGTTCCAACAGTTTCTTGTTACCAGTTCTTTCTGGCTGGCCATATGATCTTGAGTATGGAGCCAGCGACGAAATCTGTTGGTAAAAGTCTGAAACCTGTTGGAAATCCTTTTCATGACACACCAAGGTAATGACCCGTAAAGAAGAACCGACTTCACATTGGTGTTGGAAATGCAAATCTTGTTCCTTATGCTGACTGCGGAAGATTTCCAAACTGATTTCAGATTGATGAAAGCGTATCTTGCCTTTCCGATTCTGACTTTGACATCTTTGTCCGTTCCGCCTGTAAGTGAAACGATGCATCCCGGAGAAGTGAAAGAGGCAACCTCTGTTAAATCTCTCCAGTTGATGGTGATTGGTGATGGTTGTTGTTGTTGTTGCTGTTGATTTGTTATTTTCACCACCTCCGTCTTCTCTGTGTTTAGCTGCAGTCCTGTTTTCGCTGCCTCTACAGCCAGTTTGTTGGTTATCGCTTGCAAGTTTTCGAATTCTCGTGACATTAGACATACATCATCTGCTAAATTCACATCTTATATAGTGTTCTTGTCGGTCATCAAGTGTATTCCTGTTTCCTCGCTCCCCATGGAAAGTTCGACTCATAATCCAGTCCACCTCAATTGAGAATACCATCGGTGGTAATAGGCGGGCAGCTTGTCTTACTCCTGTATGCACTTCAAATGCCTCACTGAGTTTTTCGTTGTGGATCACTTGACTCATGGTAATGTCATACAGCTGTTGAATGAGGTTGACATAAACTTCAGGTACGCCATGGTGTTTAAGTAGTTTCCAAATTACTTCTCAGTCAACGCTGTCTGGTTAAGGCATTTTCGAAGTCGATGAAGTTGAGGTCGAGGTTTGGCTGTCATTATATGCCTTGTTCGATGATGATACGTAGAGTTGCAATTTGGTCAGCACATGATTTGCCATTCCTGAATTCAGCTAGCTCTGGAATGACGGAGTTTTGTATCCGGTGCATCCTTTATTCTCTCCAGGTTGATACAACTTAGTATTTTACTTGGTATGGACATAAGCATTATTCCACGCCAGTTCTTGTACAGGCCTAAGTTGCCCTTCTTTGGTAACTTGACAAGGTGGCCAGCTCTTCTTCTAATCGGCAGACAACTTTCCTTCTTTCCAAACCTTTTGCAATAATGGTGTTAGCACATCTGCCTCAGTCTCTTGGTCCGTGCTGCGGAGGGAATTCCGTCTGGTCCAGCTGCCTTCCCTACTGGACTTCAGTATTTAGGATTTCTGCTTTCGTAGGAGTATTGATATCCACTGGAACTTCTGTGCATGCTATTGGTGCTGGTGTATTTCTTGGCGAGTTGCAGATGATGATCAATTCAAGAATCCTTTTTAGTGATCAATCCATTGGTTTATCTGATTCTCCTCCTTGGTGATCCGATTCCCTTGAACATCTTTTATTGGTTCCATTATCTTGGTTCGTGTCTTCCCGGTTAGAAACTTGGTTATCTGATATAAGGTCCTGTGGCCTACCTGTTGTGTTTCAGTAGCCAGTGTGTCGTAGAATTGTCTTTTGTCCTTTCTGGCACTCGTCTTTACTTCTTTATTCAGTTCAGTATACATTGGACTTAGCCTCCCCTTCTCTTGTTAATCTTTGCATTGAATCATCTCTTTCACTAACCTCCTCTTCGATTAGCTTCTAGGTATCCATTGAAAGCAATTCCTTGTTGTGTCTCTTCCTTCTTCCTAGTACAGGTGTATACGTTTCATTGAATATCACCTTCAGAGAGTTAGTTCGAATGTTTTTCAACGCAGGCTTCCTCAGTGATGCCACATAGTATTTCCGACTTTGCTCTGATATCTGTAGTGAAGACATTGCTTGTAGGTTTGTCCAGCAGTTTCCGAATATTCAACTTGAATCGCAGTCTGTTTCCAGTTGTTTTTAGGGATTTCAGCTTCACCCTGGAAGTTCGTTGAACTAGATTATAGTTCGAGCCCACATCTGCTCCTCTTCTCAACTTTGTGTCCAGAAGGCTGCGTCTTCACTTGCTTGAGCAATATTGAGATGAAATCTATCTGGTTTGTGGTGTGTCCATCAGGCAAAATCCATGTTGTTTTGTGCATATTCTTGTACTTGTACACACTGCTTGGGATTTCCAAATCATCGAAAGCACAGAAGTCTTCGAATAATTCTCCGTTCTCATTCATTTAACTGAGAACCTCCCGACCCACGACGTCATCATTTGGGATGTTTTCTATTACTGTTTGTATTTGTCTGTAAAGATCTTCCTTCTTCTCTTGTTCCGCGTTGTTTGTAGCACTGTGCGTATCATTGAATGGTAATTGTGACCTTCCTTCCTTGCTTCCTTTTGAGTTGAATCTTGATGTCATGACCCACTACACTAGGGCTTTGGTTGCCGCTGGCGACATCATTATAGCCACTCACTGCTTCAGTGTTCTCATAGTTGTCGTCTGCGTGACCACACCAGAGTAGATTACGGACTCTCCAATTGACAATTTTGTTAATTGACATCAATCCCACCTACTGTTGCAGATTCCCAGCACTTCTATGCCATATCTTCTCACTTCTTTGCCTACCAGGGTAGTCTTGCATATTGTACGGACATTCCACGTCCCCATTTTATTCTTGATTTCATCGAGAGAAGACACATAGGCTGACTGGTTTCCCGAAGGGTTTCACCAACCCATATCATTTCGCCTCTCCGATTCCAGCGAAGGATAAATGTGTTATCTGAATTTTTTGTATTTTTAATATTTTTGTGCGTTGAAGTTTCTCTGGCAGTTTTATAGCTTTTGTGGTGTAGGGTGGCTGGCCCACGGCTAACCCTCCCTCATTACCCGGGCTTGAAAGCGGTCAGAAAACTAGAAATCTAGTTACAAAGGCGCGGTTTTCTCTTCATATTCTACTGATAAATCCAGTCATCAGTAGCACATGCGATAACGTGATCATCTGTGGACATAAGTATTAGGTAGCTATTTCTTTCATTTCCATTATTATTTGTCAAAACACAGTAAGGACGTCAACATATATGGCGACCGTGGCATGTGAGTTAAATTTCACTCATGTTTGTTTGCGTTTTGATCATTATTTTCATTCCTCCGTATTTACTTCTGTATATCTAATGAAATGGGATAAATTAAAGTTATGGCCTTCTGATTTTTTTGTCACTGATGTTTCTTGAATGTTTGTTTATCATACTTACACCTCAATGATCATGATAAAGTTTCATTGTATTACGTTTTTATCTCTATTTCAAGTGCTTAAATGTGCTAACAATCTGGATAATTACTGCCTTGGCGGTAGGACAAGCAACCAACCTTGTCTAGAGGAATGCTTGGGTGGGTGTGAAAATCACCCAAGCAATTGCAGAGTAAGTTGTGTTTATCCATTTTCTTTTTGTTTTCGATACCGAATGGAACATAATATTTATCAAAGTAATTATGATTAGGCTGTTGTTCACCTAACTGAAAAACTGAATTTGTCGAACCAATTTATTGTTTTTATTCTTTATGGCATGTCTGAATCTGTAAATTATACAAGAATGAACATGAAAGTGTTACATGCAGTTTAGCATATTGATAGTGAAGACTGTGTTGTGTTGCATTTTGATTTCTCTTACGTTAGAATATAAAGATTATAAGGTCGTAGTATGTTCATTAACCTAAATGTACTGGTCGAAGTTCTTCACCTTCAGTCTAATGTGCTTATTCTTCATTTTCTGGAAGAAAATATTTAATTTAGACATGTACAATCGTAGTTAATAACCACAATGTAAAGTTCTTACCTAAAGTGTTTACAGCTAATATTTATTCATTGATTTTAAAGACATGTGACGCATGATGCTGAATAAGGATATTTTTTTTACTAATTTATTACGAGATGATATTCTGCTTGTTAGTGGTATAAAATCAAGTCTAATGCTTGGGAAAAGAATCATTGCTATTGAAAATAGTGTATCCACTAAACTTTTCACCATTGCACAATCATTCAGTCAGTGTTACCTATGGCTGGAGAAAAACCCACCCAATTTCATGCTGTAAATAGTAAATTGTGCGTCGGTGGCACAAATGTTAGGATTCTCGCCGACCATGCACATGGTCCAAGGTTCGATACCCTGCCATCGCATACCTGATATCTATGGTCGACCTGCAAAATTTGGACTACCGATATCACACATGCTAAAAATTCCATACCTGTACCAAAAATACAGTGTGGAATCAAGCTGCAATCAATAAAATAAAATAAAGATTAGAGACTATTGTTTCCTTGTAAAATGAGTTAAACATAAAAATGTAATCCCCTATAAATGATTCGGCGACTCATTGTTTTTATTGTCAAGCTGTTGTCTAAATTATAATTTTAATAATTTGGAAACCTTTAATTTAATCGGGATGAATAAAAAAGTGAAAGATATGTGGATCTATGAATGTCAGCATGAAAAATTCCGTTTGGTGCGTAGTCATCTTAAATGATCACTTTTTACATACTAACTAGAAGGAGGTTCACTGTTCATTTTGATGCAGAACTGTTTAATCCTACCTAGATGACATTAGCACCGATCTCTCATAATGTCCAAATGTAAAATATCACAGTGCAACTGATATAAACTACCGAAAACTATTACACTTTTCTTATTTCTAACAATATCAAGTTCACTTCTGTTTTAGATCTAATACGTAGGAGCATTATATATTTATTAGCGCAGTTAGAAATGTCAGTTTGAACCTACTTATCTTTTTTTGGAAGTCATTTTACTAAATGCACATTATCCTTCGTGCACACTGCACCAGTACTTTGTAAATAGGATTCTCAGAGAATAGCTTATATAAATATCACTAATGCCACTGAAATGAATTCCGTGACCGAATTCAGCATTAAGTACACCGGACTAATCGATACTGTCATACAATTTCTAATTTTTCTATGGCAATCATTGGGAGGACATGAACACATGTTCCTTCATCATTTTAAAACCACCAATTTTGTAATTCAAGTGTTGGTTTGTAGGGATTTGATTGGTTTCAGGATTTCATCATGAGCTGACATTAGTTAGAGAACCATTGGAAAACCTGGGAGTACTGGACAGCTGTTTCGTCCTAGTTTGGGACTCTTCAGCAGTACGCACCCAGGTTTTCCAATGGTTCTCTAACTAATGTCAGCTCATGATGAAATCCTGAAATTTTGTAATTGTCTGGTTACCGTTTCGCCTCAGCAGTGATAACAGAATGCGTTTTCAAATGATAGCGTAATATTGATAGCGTTAACACTTTTGTGTCATAATGGATAGCACAGAAGTTACGAAATCGTGGATTGTTTATGAAGAATTTTACAGAAGGGAAATAATGCATGTGGATCAGCATCATAATTGCATTCTAGCGAATATTCACATCCCTCACTAATGGTGATTCCTAGGATGAAACACTTAAGCTAATCCATGTAGATAGGTCTGTGTAGCAAGTTCGTTGAGATCTTTCATAAAATATGTGTAGTGTAATATTTGTTGTTGAAAGAGTGTATTGAGTTATAAACTGCATTATCTGTATGAAAGTGTACATTAGAGACATGAGAGTCAACATAGGAAAATTAATTTTAAATTCTTATTTATTCAGCTTTTAATTTAAAATCTTTCAAGATGTTTGATATAAACAAATTAATTGATAGAACTTCAGTATGATAAACATTCAGTGTTTCTAGGTGTTTATTAGTAAACTGAGACATTTGGTTCATTCATCTTGACCGAATTCAAATGACTATTATATTGAATTGCATTTCCTGCTTTATAGCACTTTGTCAATAATTCCAAATGGTATGTTTACCATTGAACTCCTCTTGGGTGATAAAATGCAGAAATGTAAAGAAACCAGAGATGGAATGCAGATGCACAAAGTTAAGACGAAAAACCATTTTTTTTATGAACTTTAAGCCTAAATGCAAATAGTTTGAATCAATAATTTGTGTAGTGACGCGATTATTTAGTAATTTAGTGGATCTTAGTTAGTCAGCCAAGCATCTGGAACGATGATAAAACACACAAAAATTTAACATAAAGAAACCCTAATTCAGGTCAAATTTAGGACAAACATGTTTATTACAATCAACTTAGACCAAAACACGTTGTTTTGTGATATGCATCTCAGTGACCGATGTAACATGTTCATACAAGATGTACTGTTGAAATAATAATAAATTTTCTTCTAGTTCAATCAAAGAAAGCTGTGTAGAAAAACTATGTAATTTTTATCATTTTGTGAAGTATAGAATTTTTAGTCCTAATCTGTGCATTCAATTCCAAAGAACAAAGATACTCAAGACAGCTACGAATGCTTAAACCACACTGTGATCTGTTTAGATAGATATTTCTGACGTTGCATAATTTATTACAGACCGAAATTCAACCTGTTCACCATGCTCACCAAAATTAACTGAGAAAATCAGTAGGTGATGGAATAAACACGTACATTATTTGAAGTTGCCAGGGATCTGTTTCCTATATTTGTTAGCATTTGTCATCAACGCATAGTCAAAACCTTCACCGTGCTTTTATTATATTATCAGTAAATATTTCTAAGCATATTGTGTTCGCTGTATGATTAAGTACAAGAAATCCGGCTGAAGGTTGGTTTCAAGAGAAGTATCCATATCAAAATCATAAAGTGAGATCTATGAAGATGGCGATCTGAATCTCAAGGTAATTTTCACAATCGTGCTGTATTCTATCCTTGAAATAAAACATGAGGAAGCCCAGATCATCACCTTCGTGTTATTATTACCTAGAAGAGAAATCTACCAACTGAAGTGATGGAAATATGTGTTTCATCCAGAATTCAGGTCTTCATTCCATAACAATTGAGACAGTTGAACACAACTAAATAGGTTACCGGTGATGGAATGCTTCTCAAAAAACCATGTAGTATTTACGCATAAAAGCTGTTACGCAGCTCTGTTTTATCAATATTTGTTCACACATATTACGGGTAAAATGTGGTAAGTGCTTGATTCTTTGAAAGGTGATGCTAATGCCAATTAAAGTTAAAGAAGATACATGACCCGAGCGAATTCACTTGGGTATTGCGTAGCTTGGAAATTTACTAGAACAAAAATTTGCGAAGCACCCTGGGAATATATACGCATGTATACTCACTGAACTGAAAAGTAGGATGATTTCCATAAACTAGAGAATATATACAGGCAGAAGTCATCTTCTTCAAATACTGTTGTCTCCTCACATCACACAGGAAATATATGTGATAAAAGCATGTAGTGATACAGTATCGTTCACCAATAACGTTTTATGCACAATATATTGCTTACAATTATGTAATTAGGAATGTCAAGAAGTCGGAAAACTCCGTGATTGGTTACAGAAATTCATCATCAGCTGACATTGGTTGGAGAACCATTGGGAAACCTGGGAGTACTGGGTAACTTTTTCGTCATAGCTTTGGACTCCTCAGTAGTACGCACCCACCGGGGTTCGAATATCAATGAGATGCTCACTGGAGACTAGCCCTATTTACGTAGGTAGTTATCTGGGTTTCTGGTGGGAAGTCGTGACTAGCAGGGTGCAGCCAGTCGGGTGTGAGGACAAATGCGCTCCGAAGACATTGGCTAGCGTTTGCGCTATATCGTGAATTAAGGGAAAGGTAGAATTCATGGGCCATTGGATCGGGTCCCAGTGACTTAATGGTCTACGAGCTCGTCTCGTAACCGGAAGGTCCTGGGTTCGAACCCCGAAGGGTGCGTACTGTGAGGATTCCAAAGCTGGGACGAAACAGCTGTCCAGTACTCCCAGGTTTTCGAATGGTTCTCTAACCAATGTCAGCTCATGATGAAATCCTGTAACCAACCAACCAAATCCCTACAAACCAATACTTGAATAATTCCTACGTTATCCACCTTTCTACATCTTAAACAACAATTATCCGTTAATTTTTGTGTAAGTAATATCTCCTACCACCGCACAGCATTTATGATCATCATATAGTAGGCATTCTCGTGCTCACATTTCTGTTTTTTCATCGATAAGTTTTACATTAGTGGCAGCGTTGTAATGATGTCTAAGAATTCACTAGGTAAGAAATGCCTGTTTGAAAATCTCGTCTGTTAGCATGTTTATCAGGTAGAAAATTTAGAATCCCTGTTTCGAGAATAAACCTCAACTTTCTAAAAGTGTTGTGCGTTAACCAAAATATAGTGATGCTTCTAAATTCCAGCAGTAATTAGACTTTTTTAGCCAACGATTTTTCCGTTTGAACGATAAGATTTTAAATAGTTGTTATTCTGGTTATAGTTTTACCCTTTGTACATGCTGGTTACTGTGATCATCATGTGGGTTTTCGAAGCTTTACTCTACTCTTCTATAGTAAACCGGCTATTCACTTGAAGTATGTCTAGAAAATGATGTCACATTGTATTTTGTTGTTTCAGTTATAAGTGGCTGGCTAAAAACCATACAGATTGAAGTCAATTCATATTGCACTACAAAGCTTGTTCTCATGGCTTTATTCGAATGAAACTAGCAAGTTAAATTAGTTTCAGGCACATCAGATCGTCAAATTTTACTGAACCTCAATACCAGTGAGGTCCAATTAACTATACTGACTCTAATGAGAATTAAGCTTTTGTGAGATCTGTTTTTGTCTATCTGTTTATACATTCATTTTCTTTTCATTATCACTCTTTTAATTCACCTTTTAACTTAATAGCTTCGAGAGGATGTTTTGTGAACATTTCATTCATCATAATTCTGACTACTAAAGCTAAAGAGGACGACCAACAATTTAATTTAAGTCAGACGTACATAATAACCATAAGCTTTTCTATATTTTCGTATCAGTTATGTGGAATACCGTGTACATAGAACACCAGACAAATTGAAAATAAAAAATCGACCTCACTTATTCTGACAGCGTCCTTCGTATCGTACACATAGTCTAGTAGAATCAGTAAGCATATGATGCACAGTTTAAGCATGAATGTGACAGGTTGTTTAGACCTTAAGCATTTTGAAAAAAATTAGAAGTTTAGTGTTATTTTATGAAACTGCATCCAATAATGCTGATTCTTAAAGTCAAAGCAGATTTAAGTATCCAGAAAAAGTCAAGGAATAAACTGAAAAAGTACACTAGTGATGATATTTTACCGTCTAGTTCGATTTCCGCCGCTTTTGTAATCAGCATTCTGAAGTCTATTAGACTTCAAGTCTGAAGAGATAACATGGTGGAAACATATGGAAAACAAGCTATAGACTTCAATGCCAATGTCTAACTTTGGAGCGGTATCTTTTTGAACAAGGCTTATTCATAAGAAATATATCAAGTGGACTGGATATTTAATTGTTTGATTATGATATATCACACAAAAGCAGCACGATACAACAGAAAATTTAATGCATAAAATGATATTTCACAAGGTATAATGTTTGGGGAAAAAATGTTCGAAAATCAAATTGTTGATCTGTTTGTATTTTTCATATTTCTCTTTCATAATGCTCTAGTTTTCGACTAGATTTCCAAGCAAATCATCTCATTTTACACAAGAGCGAGGGGAAGAGGGAGTGAAAGAAATAGGGGGGAAGAGAGAGAAGACATACACTGTTTTTCATATTCATTTGAAATCCATTTGAGTATTTTCTTACTCATTGTACTTTTAAATTTGCATACCTTTCATCAGCTTCCGTTTTCACATTTCTGAGCTTGTTTTCAATTCGCATTCCATTTAAAGTTAAATGTAGGCCTTTTTTTCTATATGTTAAAATTCTGTATAAAACTTTATATTTGGGTTATGTATGAGTTCGGAATATTTGTTTTCGTCATGTAAATACTGAGATTATTACTCTGAAATATTGAGTGACTTAAAAGCGACTAGTTTAACCTGCGTGTTGTAACAGAGACCCATCGAGTGAAAATAACAATCTCACTTCTTTCGATTCAGGTCTGGCCGTCAAATGTAATATGTATATTAGTATGATTACTAGTACATATGAATTATTGCGAATAAATGCTGCTGAAGACGAAAGCATTAAAGACGACTGGAAGTCAGTAGTTGTTTTTCAGTCTGTTATTTAACTCCTTTTTTTTTATTACTTTCCTATTTTAATTTCAAATCAAAATATTCACTCTAGAAATTGATTTTCGTAAATGCGTGATCTGTCATGGACATCATACAAAAGCCTCTTTGTCCCTGAGTTTAAACAGGAGACTAAAGTCAATTTTACAGCACTTAAAGTTGTAAGATGGCTGATTTCAGAGTAGAACATTAACCGACTTTTTCAGAGAAAACCCGTTTATATCAGCTGTTCATATAGTTTATGTTTCAATTTTTTTTCTCTTTTAGTACTATCAAAATACTAATTGCGTTTTCTTTAAGACCATTTTTAGCTTAGTGTTACCTTTTTAAACCTAGCTTTCATATTTGCCCATAAATCTGTTCACTGAATATTTCTGATAGGATAAATGACTGAGTTGTCCATAAGTTTTCATCTATAATTTTTGCTTATTCGGTCAGTGCAACAGATTTTGTGAACATATAGAAAGTTTATTTGAATGCTTTTGTACATGATAAATATCTGCTTTGTATTGACAGACATGGCCTGGCATTCATGTGTATGATAAAGACGGTAAAGTGCGATGAAGCGATGAATATTTTTATCATTTTCTCATCTGAGCTATGCAGAAACTGTTATAGGGTTGTCAGATGACAAACATCAGAGTTCCCTAGTAAGTGTATTCCCATGTAGGTGTTTGAGTAAGTCGGTTTGTCAGTGTGTAATAATACCCAGATTTGGTTATATTTGATGTATGAACCATACGTGGGATATGCATTTACTTACACAAAAATCAGAATCTTAGATTCTGTTACTTTAAGATTAACCTTTCAATTAACCTTACTGGCAAAACGGAAGGGTGTTGTAAAGCAACCAAAATAAAAATTCAATTGTTATAAATTATTTAAATTAATCCCAGTGTGTTAAGAAAATCGAAACAAGATATTTTTCTGAACGTTTCTTCGTGTAAGCCACAGCTTCTTCATCAGATTTATTCGGATTTATTCCAGGAAGTTCGTAACACCTACGGTCTGGAAACCTATAAAAATTCATTTGGTTGCTGTTACTTTTTTCATTCAGTTGTACAGATTTCTTAATTTCGACTGATAACTGGTAACGGTGAGAAATTTGTAAATAAGTCACCATTTTTTATGTTCACTATCTTTTCGACTGTTGTCTTACTTTTTAAATTTCCTAAAATCTACAAAGGAACAGCTACTTCTGATTAAAAAAGAGTTGACTGACTAATACGTTTTCTTACTTACTCTCTCCGTGGTTAAGCATTCAAACTCAATAAATCACGGAAACAACGCTACAGTGAACAAAACTAGTAACCATGAGTGAAGGTGAACGACATGTTGATAGGCTGTTCAAATACACTAGAATAAATATATACAAATGCTAGTTCAGTCATAATCATATGTCTTTTGAATAACTTAATAACATGGCGTTTACTTCCAGTCTTAACCAATAATCGCAACCCTGAGTATACATACTAGGCCGTGAATCTATTTCACTTATTGCCATTGGAAATTAATCGAGATACTAGAATCAAAATTTGCTGTAATAAACTATTATTATCCATCAATGGAAGTCATTTTGATAATGAAGTTATAATCCTGAGCGCTAGATAAAAACAATTTTCTAGAAATCCAATCACCACCACCATCCTTACAGAAAATGAAGAAGTGAAATAAACTGCTGGTGTTACGATCCACTTTTTATAGTCTTAATGAACTCATATCCTTCTGTAGGTAGGCATAATAATTTTTATTGAAGACAACTAATTTTGCTAACTGACTGAATTAAGGGCGTTCATACTTTGTAGATCGGCAATTTTTCTGTTAAATTAAACAATGACGTATGCATTTCTTTGCTGGGTATTTTGAACTTCTTTCTACTATGATAATGGTGGAGTAGAGGAAAGTCAGGATCTCTGACGAAGAGAACAAATTCTAGTTATAAACCATTTTCATTTAACTTTTTCCAAGTGCTTTTATTTATTACTAATTTAATTCTTGCAATGAATTTTAGGCATGTAAACATGCAATAAACGATGGAAAGTGTGTCTCACAATGTCCCCCACCACTAATAGTTAGTCGTGAAGAAAGCAGAACCATTGCAAATCCAGATTTCAAATACAATTTTCATGACATATGTGTGAAAAATTGCCCAGGTAGGTTAATGTGTTTCTCTATTGATTGCGTAATTTACCCCGCAGGTGAGTAGTACATTTTAAAACTCATTTTTCATCATCTGGTTGGTCTGAGACTAAATAGTGCACAACTACGTAGAGAGAAAAAAGTAATTTAGGAATTCCTACTTAAGTTCACCACTTCAGAATGATATAAGAAAATTAAAAAGAAATAGGAAAATTATATATATATATATATATGAAGTCCATCATAATCGTAGAGAGCGAATGGATCCATGGAAGTCAAATATTACAAATCCCGAAAAAAAGAAATGATAAGCACAACAATGTAATTATTGTTCATGTCCAGGCATTGAAATACTGAATTGTGAACTATATCAACAGGCTAAAGAATAGAAAAATCACCAATGGTTTATATTTCAAGAAGTCACAGCAGTTATCACACCCTGTTCACTTTCCACTCATGTAAACTCATAAACAACTTATGGTACAACGTATTCATCTATACAGTGTTAAGCATTGCGGTGTAGATTACTTCGCTTTTGATTAATGTTCGTTTTACTTCATAAGGGTTGAGTCAACTGAGTACAAACAAAGTGAATAAAATACACAAGTAATCATGGTGATAGAATTTCTCGGCTTATTCTATCTAAACGAATATCCAATTCATTTTCGAAGAGTAAAACAAAACACCAAAATCACACACACGACATGCACGATATGCTGGAATTCTGAACAATGAGATTATGAAGAAAGTAATGACACATTTATGGAGCAGAGATGGAATTATCCTGGAATGTGAAGGTGAGACAAGATATAGGTAGGAGTGGTTGCATAGTCGTTGTAAGGATTTGCTAAGGAAAATGAACGTGATAAGTGTGAATGAGTTAATGAGATGGTAGATGATCAAGTGATAAAGGTGAAAGGAGAAGAATGACAAGAGAGTTTGAAGTTGCGCAATTGAAGAGGTCAGTGTCATTGCGTAGGGAATTAGTTCAACAATTTGAAGATAGCTTGAGTTTCCATAACCACCTTAAAATATTCACATTTTCCTACTTGGTGTCTCCTACCACTTCGGTACCACAAATCTACCACCATGTGAGAGAGATTGACATTGACATCTGAGACAGACTCTTAGATTTTGCAGCACAATTGTCCCTCAGTTCTTCCTATCTACTGACATGTGAATTAATAAATGCACTTCGAGCTACTTTCACATTCTTGACAATGGTTAATTTGATGTATCTGTTGAAGTCACTTTAAGTGAAGAACTCGTTTAGTTGGTGTGATATCATGTGGATGACATGACATCTTTGTCTATGACTCCGGTCGTCATTTGATCATGCATAGAGGTCGCCGTCCGGAGGCTTGTCTCACTTATAATTCTAATTGTGCTTGAATCGCTGAATACATTTTGCACACAGAGACTGATATACTGCCTCATAAGGTGTTCAGCAGTTCTTCATATTTCTGAGTGTGGTTTCTCTGCAGTGAAGCAGCAGTGAACTGATTCTCTAGGTCTACGAATAGTGTAGACTTTTCACTCTCTGACTTATTTCAGTCACTACAACATCGCGCCTTTCACTGTGTTTATTGTGCATTGTTCCTCGTTCCTGTCGCCCATCTATTCATGGATGAATTTCTATGCAATACAATTCAGATTTGTCCTACTGGTCATTATGGACTTTTTATCTCTGCATCCAATCGGCTTGTTTTACAAACCAGTAGAAACAGACATAATCGAATAATCGTAAAAATGATAATAGTAACAATAGTAATAATAATAATAATAGTAATAATGATTGTTATTATTACTTGTCGTTTGGATTGTCGTCACTGCAATTAGATTATTTGTCTAATCGTTGTGTCGATAATTATAGTGTTTGTATCATGATAACTATCTACATATGTTTACTTAGGTCATACAAACATGAAACCTGGTGTAAGTGGATGATGTTGTTTGTGTAAGCATGTTTGTGTGTGTGTGCGTGCGTGTGTGTGTCTATGTATATGTTTCATGTCCTCCTGAGTTGTTATTGTTGTTTGTCGCGCGGACTTTGTGGTTTCTCTTCCGGTGTAGTTGGTGAAGTGTAAGTGAACGAGAGGCGGAAGTATGAGGGGGATAGTTAGTAAGTAAGTAAGTAAGTAAGTAAGTAAGTAAGCAAGTGAGTTAGTTAGTGAGTGAGTGAGGTAGTGAGTTAGCGAGCTGGTGTATGCCTCCGATTAATGTGAGATATGGGATTGTATAAGAGAAGATGTCTGTGTAATAATGAGAATTTGTCAGATATTGATTCTCGAGTTGTGGAGATTACAGTGAAGGTGAATGTTTAGGAATGTGTGTGGGCATTTCTATTGAAGATATGTTGGTTTGCATATAATGTTTAATGGACTTGTAAAGATATAATTAGTGAATCGTTTGCAGGCTGAGTTTATCAAGACACATAAATCATAAGTCTGATATTGTCAGAAGGAAACAACTGCCTCTATTTATTATTGATTTTTTACTCCAGTGTTTGGTTACTAGGGCAGAAGTCGACTGTGTATGAATGCCTAATTTCGAAGAAATTTGACCGTCTTAATGGTTTAGCTATATTTAAGATAATTTCCGCTTTTACCTTTATATGAGTAATTTTGAGCACTCTGTTGTTCATGTGAGTTTCACATGTAAGTTTCAATACCATTTGTGTTCCTCCTAGTGAATGCAACAGTGGGTTGAATGTTTTTTAAATATGTTAATAACCAAATTGCATTCGAATTACTTTTGCAGACTTATAAGTGCCTCTAAATATATCGAATTTGAGGGGAAATTTTTTGACTTTTGACTTGGAAACTTCTCAATGCAATCCAGGATTTCTGACTCCCAGAAATGCATTGTTTTCATTCCTATATTTTCACTCATGTGTATGTCAACTAATAGCTCTACTTAGAGTTTTTTACATGTCAGTTTTTGAATAAATAGGGCATAGATTATAGCTTGATTCCACACCCTATTCTTGGTACAATTATGGAATTCTCATCATATGGTATCGGTAGCCCAAATTTTGCAGGCCGACGATAAACATCAGGTGTACGTTAGCAGTGAATAGAACCCGAGACCATGTGATGGTCGGCGAGAGTCCTAGCCTCTGTTCTACTGATGCACTTTTATGTGTGTGTACAGCAGTGAAGAGTATTTCCTAATGATGAAATATATTGTTTTTACCGAGTTGATCATGGATTGATATCAGTTGAAGAACCATTGGAAACCAATGTTTTGAATCTCAGTGGGTGCGTACCTCCGATGATTCCCAAACTAGGGTGAAACAGCAGCTGTCCAGTACTCCCTGGTTTTCAATGGTTCTCTAACTGATATCGATCCATGATCAACTCGGAAAAACCATGGCTAACCCTTACAAACCAAACTTTAGAAATATATTGTACTTCGAAAGTTACCTGCACTTCACACTAACTAGCTATTAATTGAAGCTCTAAAGCAAACTTTTACATTACTTAATTGATGAAATGCCTAGTTAAGTAGTACCAGTAGGATGGTAACTGACATCGAGAGATTCCAAAAATACATGGTATCCAGTAAATGAACAATTATAAGATAATTGAGAATGGAATTATTGCAATTTCATTATCTTGCCCATTATTTTTTATTGAAATATAAAATTATTAATTTGCCTACCATTCAACACAGCTATTAGGTTGACCTAGAAAGCGGTTGGTTATTATGTATATACATATATATATATATATATATATATATATTAGACACTGTATCACTTACACAGTTGCAAAAAACATTTTCCAGTACATTTACGCTAAATGTTACGATTCTTTTTCAAAAGGTTAATTGGTTTTATGGTTAAGAAATATGCGGATTACCTAACCATACCAGTTTCTTTTTGTAAACATAACTCCATTTAGGATAGATTTATTGTTTTTAGGTACTTTAATCTTTTGATGTATAGCATTACACATGTACATTTTAATGGTCGGCTGTTTGTACCTCGACTACTACAAATACTATTAAGAAAGCACCTTAGTTTCTTACTACTCTAGGACTGCTTATGTATTTATCTGCTGGAAAAAAGGCAAAAAGTTTGGAGGTTCGAAGCCTATCTACAAATGTTAACGTAACCGTGTTGTACTATCAGCGCACCCACAATTAGTGTATAAAATTTCAGTATCATTGACTTTTTTAACACACTCATTCTTTTATCAGAGAACCTTTCCAGAAAAGAATGTTTAGGGGCATGATACTTTCCAACTAAAAGTGTTTACAGTTTGTTGATTAGATTGTACCTAACACCGCATAATTCGCGTGTTTTGCAAAAGGATCTATAGATTTACTGCTGATTTACTCATCATTTTGGTTTTTCATGTATGAGCATTAAAATAAAAAAGTCATTGTTTCTCTTTGTTTGTTTGACTGTGAGTAGAGTAAAAAGACAGGCATGTCAAAATAGGCCTGGTTAATAAAGTCCATTTCGAACAGCATTTCTATTCTCTTACAAATACCCATTTATTTCCAGTAAAAACAATTATTCACTTAACATTTTTCAAAATGGAACACCAGTTGCTATGAGCACTTATGTAAATATTTTTAATCAAGGTTGACTTTCAGAGGTTCATTAAAGACAACATATGGTTGCTTTTATGTTATCAGAAATACAAGAATTAGACAAAGTGGTTAAACGTAAACAGCATAAGAATAAAAAGAATTTCTAGGCGAATGGATATAAACAATTACTGCATACTTCTTCAACTGGCTGAATTCGCTGATATGTTCTCCGACTTAACGCCAAGTGCATTGTTTAACGGTGTTAAATTTTAACAATTAAAACTACCTAGTCTGTTTTGAAAGAAGTCAACAGATACACGTGGGTAGTGTGAGCAGTAAAAGTTATTGAAAAGACAACTAAATACATCAAGTTAGGACATAAAATGAAGTTAATAAGACTCTTCTGGAGAATAACGATAGATGAATACGGTTCGTATGTTGGTAATCAACAGTCTTAAACCCTTTTTCAATATGTTCATGTATGAAAAAGTGTCATAAACCTATGACTTTCATCACTGTTTGACTCTTAAGTTATTCAATAATCATTTTATCCACGTTTGTATTCCGAGTACTGTAGCTGCTCTGTTATTAAGTTCACCGTCAAGAAAAGTCCCAAACGTATTTTGGCAGTTATACAGAAATTCAGATAGTGTTTTGAAATCTCCAGCTACACGATGCTTAAAATATGCTACAAGATTCTTTGTCTTGAATAACATCACTTTTTTGTATTTCCACTAAGTTTTCTAAATAACTCTGAACTAAATACAATAATATAGGAACTGCTACTATGATACTGCTAAAGTTTTGTAAATGTCGACAAATAAGGCCGCCTGCTTAAATCATTGGGCTACCGAAATTAATTTTCTCCAAAATGCTTAATTTTATCTGAATTTATCATTGTTTTAATCGTCCAGTTATATCAAATGACTTATACATAAACTTGCGCGATGATTTAACTTGCTCCCAAATAAACGCTGTACACTTCTTCAACGAAATGAAGATATACTTCAGACTTTACATGTGAATCCTGTGTGAGGATTAAAGCACTTTGGAACTGAATACGCTGAAAATGTTTGTACGGTATATTCGCATACTGTCTTAAATACCACTATTATTATTATTAATAATAAATATCAGTGGTGTGCTTGTTCTTATTTTGACTACAGCTTCCAGAAAATAATAAAATTTCTCCAAGTTTTTCTAATTATTACTTCATCTACTTATTAATATTTTGCTGACTGCGTTTTATTCACTTCGAGGAAGTCCTGTTGAATTTCCATTTCAACACTGTGCGAACAGCATTCTAATTTTGCAACATTTGGTCTATCGAAATATTACATTATTTGTGATACGTCTTCAAAACTATTCTTACCACTAAGATTTCTTGGTGCATTTCTTGTGAAATCTATCATATGTATGAATTTTTCTATATTACACTAATATACTGCTGTGTTATGAATAAAGTATCCCTTGAAGGATTCAGATTCTTCTGAGTAATATAACACTTTATCTGTATATTTTTGGTCTCTGAGTTGGATGTTTTAAGCGCTGAGCTTTCATTTCGGATTCGGTGAAGATGTTGACTAGAAAAGTAACGAAAACTTCTGAGTTACACCATCTTATTCAGAGAGGATGACTATCTCTTTACCACCTGCACCATTATTTTTTATATGCTAATCTGCTAAATAATTAGTGCTTACTGAGGCATCTAGGCGCTGAATTGACGCATAAATTTCCAATTTCTAGTACTATTTCTTCAGACAATTATCGCGACATAAAGATGGTGTAATGAGTAAATTAAAACTGACTTAAATTGTTGATATCTGTGTGGAATTAAAACTATACAGATTGCTTATAAGAATACTCGTAATAAAAAACATATCCCCGACGAAACAAGATGAAGATCCTCAGTTTGTTTTCCCATAATGCATAATCTTTGTCATTTATTTTATTTTCTGTCTCTTTCCTACATTACTTTTCACTTCTGTTATTGTCATGCAGCACCATTCCTCAAGTCGGATAGTTATTGTGTAATCGAATGTGATTTGAATACTCAAATTCCTGTGAATGGTACTTGCAAAGAATGCCCGAAGTCTGGATGTCCTGAACGTAAGTTTAATGCCCTAGATATTACGATTAAAACAATTGCAGTAGAAATGTTTGTTGATTGCCTAAAGCATATTGTCAGGAGTAATGAAAGCAACAGAGTATTTCCTGTGTTGCATAGTAGCAAACACTAGCTAGAAATTCTTTAGATAACTTACCAGCAAAGGTCATCTACAAAAAATGAAGTATATTTACACTTTTCATTTGAGGTCCTGGTTGATACCAGTTACAGCATCACGTTGCAATTCATTTATTCTGTCTAAAAACCCTTTATATATAAAATATAATATATTATGTCATGCCAAAACTCTGTAAATTTTGCAGCATGAGACATGGAATTGTAATTCTTTGATGGCCAGTGCAAGGATGTTGCCCTAGGTTTGAGAACAAGGAGAGGCTTATGACATATCAGAAAATCTTTCCAATCAATAGCCGTATTTGAAATAATTGCTACTGACCTTCTTTAGACATTTAAAGTTGTTCGTTTTTGATTTATTTTATACCCCCCCCCACTAATACTCATGCGGTACAATATTAATTTAGCATATTATGCATAGGATATGATTTTTTTGACACGAATTCAAAACAGCTGATTCAAAGAATTCAATAAATTCACTGGGACTCTTCTGTTGGATATCCTATATAAGTTATTACATTTGCTGTGTTATAATTTTGGGTTTTTGTTAACATACTACAAAAAGAGATAACGGATTGGGTGAAGGAGTATAACGAAAACCCGAAAAATTTAGAAGTGTTAAAATTGATAGCTAATTCCTAATTTAGTAACCAACTAAATTTTTCTAACTATTTAGTAGATATAATCATGCCTTCGACAGCGTTGATCTCTACTTCAGCACTACGAATTACTCCTAATCTTTATCAGTCTCATTCACCAGATATATGACATCGGCAAATGTCGACTGATCCACAACTGGAAGCTCAACGGAATCTCTGAAGTGAAGACAACAGTAAGACAAGACTATACCTACTATCACCGATGATATTCGTAATTGTGGTGGATTGGATCGTATAAAAGACTGTGAGGAGTGAATACTTCTTTCTAACCAGTGAGAAGACTTTGAAAGATCTGGTTATCGTGGGTGATGTCTAGTGTCACATAAACTTGAAGACTTATGGGAGAGAACTGACAAGTTGACAGAAAACCCTGGATGATGGTGAAGACAAGAGTTCAAGTGGAAATAAAGAAAGCAGAGGTGATGAAGTTGACTGGTTTCTGACAACACCAAGCATTAATCATTATCAATGGAGGGAATTTGAATGAGGTCACTTCTTTGGCTAATTATGGGCAGCATCGTATTAGCTATGGTTGACACATGTGAGGTTGTCAAAGATACTTGGGATAGAAAAAGCAAGACAGACCTTAATTACTCTGAAATCAGAGTGAAAATCTACTGCACCAAGAGTAAAGAGCAAGATTGAAATTTTCAATACTAATCTCATATCAATGCTTCCATATAGTTCAGAAGCCTGATGTGTCACCAAAAGCATTTTCAACAGACTGTAGACGTTTATCAATAACTTTCTTAGCTGGTTGCAAGCTGAATATTAGTTGACTGGCAATAAACTCAGGGAACGAACCAACTAAGAACCTGTTTTCCAACAAACGCGACGAAGAAAGTGGAGATTAATCGAACACACTGAGGAGACCATTGAGTAACATCGCGCGCCAACCCCTCAAATGGAACCTAAGTTGGAAACAATGAGCTGAGCGACTGAAGAAAACATGTAGGAGATTGTGTGAGAAGGAAATGGAAGCTTATGGGCAATCATGAGGCCAGCTGAAGAGGGCTGTCGAGAAAAGGATGAAGCTGAGATGTGCTGTTGAGGCCCTGTGTTCCTCTCGGAACCAAAGTGAATAATAGTTTTATAGTTAATAATAATGGTAATAATAATAATAGTTAATAGTCAGTTTTTTAATCCTTTGGAAATTCATTTCTTCAATTTCCTTCCAGCCGTGTATAATCTTTCATCTTTTTCTTACCTGTGAGGACGCTTGAATGATATAATATTCAGACTTCATTGAGGTCTAAATTGTTGGTTGCTGAAATGAATTGCATTGCTTTATGTGTAATTCTTTTGACAGTGATTTGTTGAGAAAGACAAATGTGGTGTTCTTCATTACTGAATACCTTAGCTTATTTTTAAGATAACTCAGAGTTTTTTCCCAGTGAGTTAAGTTCATGAACTTAAATGCAAAATTCTTTTTTGATCAGTCTATCTGAAATGAAATAGAGATATGTTTTGATTTGACCTGAATCCTTATATACAAATTGTATTTTAATCCCAGAAAGCATTACAACAGAAATATCTATTCATAAACCAGATTTTATAGATAAGATTAGACATAGTGTTAAGCTAAAAGCTCAAGTTAGCAGACTACTTCAATTCATTGGGGAAAATTTCCTCCCATCCATATAACTTGCAAAGGAAATGAATATGTTCCACAGTAGAAATCTTCCAAATCTCTGACTGAAATTATAAGCATGCATTCCAGTCCAAATCGATAGTTTTCAGTTTACAACCATGCTGGAAAACTATATTACGTAAACACCTACAAGAAAATTAAAGTATAATTAGGCTGCGCTAAAAAGGGAATATTAATCACTCGTGTGGTCAGCTGTAGGGAGTACTGAACCGAGTATTACGGCAAGCGGTATACATAGATCACCATACGCAACTATTACTTGTTGAAAACAAGTATTTTAAAATGTTAGAAAGACTTTCATGTAATGAGTGGAACATCTAATCAGCGTAGAACTCAAAACAAGAGGAAACAGACTTGAAAAGCCGGTTGATTATGAATAATATAAACAAAAGGACTTAAATTTTCTGTATATATCACGCTCTACTATCTTTGACAATTTACATATGACTCCACAAGCTACACCGATAGAAACGTGACATAACACCGATATAACTAATGTTTATTTAAAGATTGAGGAAAATTAAGTTTATTCGGCTACCAGAAGCCTTTGACGTCACGATTTTTCTGTCTAATTTTTCTAGGTAGATCGTAAATGGGATTAATCTTATTTGAAACACAGAACTGTAAATTAGCTGCAGATGAACAGTTTTCCTTGTCCAGACAGTCAACTAAAATCTTTGAGTTATTTTCAAACTTAATCCTAAATTTGCTCAGTTATTCTGTTAGTTACCTAGACGATCTTCTTTTCGTTTCTGTTCTTGAAAACTGAAAATTAAGTGTGTAATTTTTCGTCAGTCATATTAACATGAATCAGCCTTCAGCAAAAAGTGAAATTTTATTACGCATATACAGTCATATAAGTAAGAGGTATACAGATGTTTTCGTTGAGCCCTATGAAACGATACTATTTTCTGTATGTCTTGAGTCATTTGTACAAAGCCGTCACAAGAGTTTAGCATATGGACTAAGTCCTAAATTCCAAGAATATCAAGTACGTAAAAGTACATTTTTTAGCTGATAACCTTTGAACAAGAATTACAGAATGATTTCTGCCCTACTCGAGGATAAATTTTAAAATTTATCCTCACAATAGAATATCTTGTGCTCCTTGGTATCAACAATAATTAACCTGTGTTTCTTGACTTTTCAGCCAGGTACATTTTCCTGGCTTATATATAAATGTATGATGCATGTCATTTAAGTTTTTTGCTACTTCTAGCAACATACTCAGACATGAAGCTATAGTCGCTTTTTTTGATACGTATTCACATAATATGTGTGTTTGTTTTGACAGTCTGTTATATTTTGCTATGTATATATGGATCGATATTCCATTATAATTGACAATATATTTTTGTCTGTCCACTAACTAAACAAACATGTCTGACCTTGTTGTCACATGACATTACAACCAATCATGTTAAGACTGTCTATTGATTCGTTCATTTTTGAACATTCGCTCATACACTTGTATGACATTGATTTTCCTTGTTTGAAAAATACAAGTATCATCGTGAACCTGGTGGTTTTGTGATTTCCGCCTTTCTTGCGTCAGGACTATTAATTACTCGACCAGTACATAACATTTTTAAAACCTGCTTTTAATCAATACAGTTTTATTAATCTATGGTGATGGTGAAATAATAGAACTACATGACTGTGGTGAAAAAACTGAAAAGTTGATGATATTGTGCTTTGTTCAGTAGACTGGTAGATGACATTAATTTAATTCTCATTCTTCTTCGAATTGGTGGTAAAATTTATACTAACCGCTCTTGACTTTAGCGGTAATTTCAAGGCAGGGTATAACCTAATCCATTCTTAAAATCCTGTCCATAAAATTGTTGATCTTTGTACTGTGTATATGTGGTTTCCACATTATAACATTGGGTCACATTCATCTAATCTGACAATAGAAATACGACAACTAGCATTAATTTGTCCTTCGTTTAGTTAATTAGCCAAATATATCACTTGTTACTGTCTATTCAGACATATTTTAGCATTTACAAACTATCAACTTTACGATAATATATAAGTGTAAATTACTGTAGCTCACACTAAGAGACTGTATAAGAAACAGCTGGCCACACGTACAGTGTACTAGTACCGATTGTCCGATTGAGTAGTATAATGAATTGAAACCACGAAGTAAGTGCACCTCATACATGGATTCCGATTACAATAGGAGATTTTTTACTACCCGTAGTCAGAAGTTTGTAGGAATTTTCAAGACTTAAACTAATGAGTTCCTTTTATGAAGATCTATAGAGTGAAAAAAAGACTTAATTTATCTCAAACGCGTAATGTGTTTGCGCAACACATTTCAGGCATTCTGATCACACACACACACTTGTCATACACATTTATATAAAAAGCTTCTCTCTCACTTAAATTAAATCTCCTTATTGTTTTGCCCAAATTTTTAACTTATTTACACACACACACACAAACGGAAAGTAATAAAAAATTTGTACAAACCTTTAGTGTCTTCAGTTGTCTATCAGACACCGTATAATACACACACGAAAATGATAGTAATTAGAAAAATAAAGTAACCTAATGATTGAATTGAATTTTCTATTTTCCCGTCGATTGATTGGACCGAAGTGCTTGGTCTCAGGTTGACATGTCGGCTTCTTGTGCAGATGCTTCGACGATGTCTGGGTGTAACAACAGAAGACAAGGGCCAGGCAACAGATCGTTTTATTATGAAAATCAACACGTATTTATACATATTTCACATACATTATTATAGCTTATGCAAGTAGACAAGCGCAGTCATCTGATTGGTTGTTTATCAGAAGTTAGGCAGACAAACGCAGGCTTCTGATTGGTTGTTTCGGGATTCCTCGACAAATAGAGTTCTCTATCTGCGAATCATATTTTACCACGTTAACTTTGCTGTGATTGGTTGTTGAATCAGCCTTGCTCATATTTTCTCAAGGCCTGCTCTCACCACACGGGTATTTAATTGGTGTACAATTGGTGGATGGTGGCTAGCAGTGGAATCCAGGATGCGCATTTCGTCCTATTTGGGACTCGTCAGCTGGATGTACCTGCATTTCTCAGTGAGTGATGATGTTCCCACCGAGGCTCAATAATTAATATGACCCGTCGCACAAGAGGTGGCTCTCGTGGCCCAAGTGGTCTAGTGGATAATGCTTTGGCGTTTGAAACTATGGGCACTGGGTTCGAGCCTCGGTGGGAAAATCACCACTCACTGAGAAATGTAGGTACATCCAGCTGACGAGTCCCAAATAGGACGAAATGCGCATCCTGGATTCCACTGCTAGCCACCATCCACCAATTTGTACACTAAAGTAACCTAACTTCTCGTTACACGTACAATTTAAGTGGGTAAATGGAAAACGGACATGCGAATAACAGTACAAATTTATTTTTAAGATATAATCAAGTGTTATTACACAAGTCGATTTCGGCAGACACGAAGACTAAGATATGCCGACCAAAACGAGACCATGCAGATCATTTCAACAAGTTGAATATACCTTTTATTCTATAAATATCTGTAGTTTACGGACAGTATGTTTAGTAAATACCGTTTGTTTTGGGATTTTTTTAATAAAACCAAATTCATATATATATATATATATATATATAGTGCGCATATCACGAAAACGTATAACTCCAATGTAACTGAGTCATGATGGTGAACATATACACCTGTTCAACAATCAAGTATTCTTTGGTGCTCACTTTTATCAAATTTGTCTACAGGAAAGATTATTGACATATAATTTCTGTTTTTTTTTGACAACAATTCATGTGTGCTTGAATAAGCACTCACTATAAACCATTACACACTTTGTTTCCATGTCATGACAACATCTTCCTTTTATTCTGGTATTATAGATTGTAAAGAAGAGACTATCTTTCCCAATACAACACTGCATGTTCTGCAGTTAAGTTCACTAAGAAAACTTAAATCATGTGTCCACTATACTGGTATCCTTTACATCAGCAAAGAATCTTTCCAAAGGAGGTACGTTGTAAGGTTTTTGAGATACACTACACAAATATAAATATGTAACACGAAAAGCACCTGCGATAATTTTAAAAATCCTAATGAATCTCACTATTACAAAAAGACATTTGAAGTATCAACAATACCAAAGATATAAAAATCTACTTCAATTCTAGATGCTCAAAGTTTTTTTTACTACAGGTGAATGTGAAGACGCTTAAGAAAACACAATTTTTTTAAAACTGTTACCGAAAAAATGTTATTGAAAAATTAATCTCATAAAAATAATCAGGAAGCATTGTGGCATATTCATTCACTCGTAAGAAACGTTTCCTTTTAATGTCAAATTTCTGCTTTAATTCAGCATAGTTTATTTGCGATGCTCCACATTTATTCCTTAAGTAATTATGAAAAACTATACTAAAGACTGATGCAGTTGAAAAACTGTCAAAGGAAAATATTACAAAGAATATTTTGATTTTAAAACAAGCGATAAAGCTTAATAAAGCAGGAAATAAATGTTTTCAATATTTTGATTGGACACCAGGTAGTAAATAGTTACATGCATCTAGTCCTTTGTAAGTGCATTGTGTACAACTGAACATCTCTGTAATCAGCTCCCTCACGACATAAAAATAAGAGTACTGGACAGCTGTTTCATCCTAATTTGGGACTCTTCATCAGTACGCACCCCCACTGGGATTCAAACCCAGGACATTCTGGTTACAAGGTGAGCTCATAGGCTATTAGGCTACTAGGACCAGATCCAGTGACCTGTGAGTCCTAACTTCTGCCAATCCATTACGCAGTGTGCCTATTTAGCACTGTCTTCTTCGATGAGTTTGCTGTCTCACCTTCACCCTGGGCACTGAAGAATCCCAAACTAGAACGAAACAGTTGTTGAGTATCCTCAGGTTTTCCAATGATTCTTCAACTGGTGTCAGCTCATGAGGAAACCGTCCAGCCAATCAAACACATTCCCTACAAAGCCAATACTTGAAAACATATAGAAATGCCGAAACTATGATAGAAGTGAAACACACGTAGAATATAAATATCACTTGTACTGCATTATTCTTGACTTTGATATTCAAGTAAATCAACCTCTTTAAAATGAACTCTCTGCATAATATTACAACAAATTCTACGACGGAAAGTGAAATTTTGCCGAAAAATACAATGGAAATAGTAGCCAAATATGTTGACCTACTTCATATTTTTGTTGAGCGAGAATTCTAAGACGCATATTTAGCCCGACATTCTTGTTAGCTTTGTCTACCTTTATGTTGTATTACGTAAACTTGTTTTAACAAGAGAATTAATTCTTCAGAAATAATTTTTATTCTATAGCATGAGAGATTTAATTTAAACTAGCGACACATTTAGTAAGATAACATCTTAGGTTTTGTCTTTTCTGCCAGAAAAATGTGTTTATTATAACCGAAAGAAAAAATCCAAATAATTCTAGTGATATTATCGACATGAAATGTTTTCTTCAAGTTATCTCCAACAATATAGCACTGTGTCGTTCTAATAGAAAATATTATTTATGCATTGCTATAAGGTGATTGAAGCATGTGCACGTATGCCTGACCAGCAGAATTTGTTTCCTTTCCTTGGTAATTGTAATATCAAGAACATTTTCATGTTCAAAAGGTTGCTAGTACGAATATTTGGGACTGGTTCGATTAGCCGAAATAAATGATCAGATGGAGATCATTATAGGAGTGGAAAGGAAACGTTGTCTGCAGCGTAGCAGTGATCTCAATTTCCTTCTAAATGATGTAAACTAATAGCTCTTGCAGTCTTTTAAGATTATGTTTTTTTTCTTTTGCTTTTTTCACTTAGTCCCCAGTTTCCAGATCCCATCGAAGATGTGAATGAGTTATATAATTTATTGAATTTGAGATCAATTGTTGGTTATATATATTTTGATTTGAGTGAAGTTCCAGAACAACTAACGAATTTAACATTTCTAGAGAATCTAGAATCTGTTGTTCTCGAGGGTAAGTTTAGATTATTTTTTCGGCGTATTCTTTAGAATTAGTCTGTGCAAGACGAGAAAACACTTTTTGTGCCTTTTAACTTGTTAACTGGAAACTACTGACTTATTTTTTTCACAACAATGAGGTCGGTATTTAACGTTGTACAAGGCGAATGTCTAGCTACAAAGGTGTACAGTCATGCTTTGTCATATTGGAGACGTACATATCAGCACTTTGACTAATGTTCCAATGATGATTAATCCCCCAATGAATAGGCTAACATATTATTTTACAGCTTATCTTGAATTTCTTTATATGCCCGTTAGCCTACTAAAGTTATAAGGTACTAGAAATTAATAAGAACTCTTGACGGGATTAAATTCACTTCAGAATTGTAATTTGAACTCTACTAGCTTGCAGACATTATACAAAATGCTGTTATTTCTTAGTTCTGAGTCATTTAATCATCTTCACATGCAAAGTCAATACTTCACGGTTTATATATTTTTTGTCAATACAGAACACCTTTTATCAGGTGTGAATAATTGATTCACCCTTCTAAGGATCACATTGAAATAAGTCTTTCAATCGCATAATTCTTTGCCCAAATGTGTACATAAAAGATAGATTGAACTTCTACGTCGAAACTTTGCATAAGTTGAACAGGTTGGTCAATTTAACTCATTGGGATCATAACAGATAACGACAAGATATCGATACAAATCGATAGTTTGAGAATCATAATGCTGAAAATAAGAACTAAATTTCCATGCTGCGTGTGGTATTAAAACTGCTAAGATGTATTCTGGCGTGTTTCTGCAAATACTCTGAATACATCTAATGATTTCGAATTTTTGCATCAGGAATATTAAAAGAAACTAAAAGTTAATATATAATGAATGATCTCTGTACAAAATTGTGAATGTAAATTTCAAGTAGAGAGCATTAAACGTTACTGTACAACTCTAGTCCTATAAAGCGCCATATAATATCACTACAACTCCTTGTCTGTTACAAGTTATTTCAACAAAATATCATTACAAATGAAAGCGTATCATGTAATAATAATAGTAATAATAATAATAATAAAGTTTTAATTCATACAATGTGTGAACACGTACAGAAATTTTCAGTGTATTTAGTTCCAAAATTCTCCCTCTTCATACACGATTTACATTTAAAGTGATAATTTGAAGTAGGTCATGTGACGTAGACTTGCTACATGTGGAGAGACAACCGATTATGCACACTTTTCCTTCATTTCCTTCAGGAATTTCACAGCGTTTAGTTGGGAGCTAATTAAATATGCATGTGAATTCATGTAGTGGTCATTTGATATAACTGCACAATAAAACGATAAGAAATGCAAAATAATTTATACATTTTGATGCATGAAAATTCTGGTAGTCCATTAATTAAAGCAGGCCACATTAGAACTACGGTTTGAACAAACTCCTTCCCGGTAATATTTCTAAGTATTACATCATGTCTTGATTGGAGGCTACATAAACAACTTATCATTGTTCATTTCTCATGTATTTACATATAAACAAGTAAAGAGAAAACTTCTTAAAACATTTGAGAGTTGGAACGAAAGCATGCATGATTTAACGAGTCAGAAAGTATAAATTAACAATAACTGCAGCAGTGCACACTTATTAACTCCAACTCAAGGGAGAAATATTTACTGAAACCCTCTCAATAAAAAATACCATTAATATTTCTTATTTTTTTCTTGAAGTAAATCACTTCGCCTACCAACTGTTTTCAGCACTGATCAGAACTATAAGCTATTTCAGGGATTATTGAGCTCTACCTACTACTTCATATCCATCCCATTTAGTCTTAAAAAAGTATGCCACGATTGGTGATTTTTTCTCCAAGCATAGAGCAGTATTAATTTTCACATACTTTACAAACATGTTACTTTCGATTCATGAGGATAAAATCCCTTTCGCTCGATAGATAATCAAATGTTTTCTTCCTTTAGTGAAAAATCAGTCACCAGGATCGGTGATAACAATTATGAACGGTGAAAATATTGAATTATTTGGATTCAAGTCTCTAACTAATATTGGAGGTTATGTATATTTGAGAAATTTACCAAAACTTTGTTATATTAGTGCACTGACAAAAATGTCACATGTGATTACAGTGGATGTACAAGAAGAAGAGATATGCGGTATGTTGAAATGACTTGATATCTACATTTATATATCTGATGATCATATATGTAAAAGTGCTTTTTAAAAAAGTGTTTTCTGGAATTCATGGAGCGCTGACTACTTCAGATATCTCATTCGTTTAATTTTCATGAAGGTAAAGCTACAGAAAATAAGTGCAGAGGTGAAGAATACAGGGCACCTGTTTGATACTTTACCAACACCTTATTAGCCTTTGACTGTACAATATAGATTATGATATGATTCCAATGTGATGAATTAATTGGTAAGACATTTCATACAGTTCCCTATGAATTATGCATCTGTAACACATTTCCTCCTGGTGTAAGTAGAAACATAACAATCCAGTTTGCATCGTATCGCAAGTTCACATATACATAAAGCATCAGAAGCTGAAGACATTGAGTATTATATTATTATTATTATATCCTTTAATTCCTAGAGGAGCATAGGACTTCAGCTGCGCGTCTCCATTGCCTTCGGTTTTCAGCCAACTTTTTCACCCCGCTCCAAGTCTGCCCACACGCTCTCATCTCCTCTTCACATGACCTCCTCCAAGTCACCCTTGGAGTAATTCCTTTAATTTTAACATACCGACTGTAAAGAGTAGGATAGCTAAGCTTAGTTTCGAAGGGAAATAGTATTCTTTGGCGAGTACGGGAAAAGGATGATTTACTGTGCATTACTTTCTGAATTGTCTTTCAATTTGAGGCATACTGTTTGAAGTACAGGCTACTCTCTTGTACCAAAATATTATCTGCACTTCACAACTTGTCAGTCTTATTCCACTTTTAATTCACCTATATTCTAAACTTAATGTATATGACACCATGGTTACACTGTAAATTTCGTTATTTGGTAACCGCTGTATGTTTTATGCTGTCCTTGAACGGATATGATGTTTGCAATTTGGAGAAAAACTATGCATATTAAGAGACAAATAATAATGGAATAAAACTGTTTTTATTTGAATGCACGTGTGTATTTATATTTTATACAAGCCAAGTTAGTTGCACTTAAATTCCTATCTTACTACACTTATATAAACAATCATAATAAAATTGTGAATTAAATGAACAAAGTACGGAAAAATGTTTAAAAATACATTTGTGAATACAAAGTTTAGATATCTGATCATATATTGCAAAACCCTTAGACTGTAAACAAATGATAAAAAACAATACTCTAGGATTAATTAATCTAGACTTGTATACTATATGCAAATAGAATGTTTAAGGTGCTGGATCCCTCGTGCCGCCAAAATATTCACAGAATGATATTGCTATTTTCTTCTTTTAAAACAGTTAGCCACCCACTCAAAAACTGAATATTATTTATTATTCAGTAAATTTGTATTCCTTTGTATTTCTAGTGGAACACAGGGCTTCAAGCTTGAGTTTTGAAGTTTCAGTAAAAGTGGCTTTATTCTTACTGGGTAGGGTTGCTAGTGTCATATCCAATCTCCCCTCTTTACTGGGATTATCACCTGCTAAGCGAGGCTTAGGAGTGTATAATGTTTATTTTTGTATGGTTCAGATTGTAGTCAGCTGAGAAGCATCCTCGAAATGAAACAAAATGAGCACATATTATCCTGGTACATTTGTCGTTCTTACCTTGTTCAAATTTATTAATGGGAAGAAGTGAATGAAGTTCTTTCCTGCACAAACGACTTGGAAAGGAAAGTTTATACATTGAAAAACTAACTAATTTAGTGGGAAAATATGTACGGATTTGTTATTTTTCATATTAGCTAGTATTTCCAGTAGTGTGTAACCTTCATAACTGAGGTTTGTTTTATTCTACTTACTGCAGTTAAACGCGGTCATGTTTGCCATAGCGAATGTCTACCAGAACTTGGCTGCTGGGGTGCTGAGGCTAATATGTGTGCCCATTGTTGTGGTTTGAAAGCTGGTGACCACTGTGTGTCAAAATGCACAGACCGCCCTGGATTTTATGAAATCCCAACACCTGTTAATCATACAAATTTGAGGCAGACTGAAGGTGGTCCAGTTTGTAGGACACTGCCCCTGACTAAAAGCCAAATAGCCGAAATGGACGAACAATCCATCGCTTCAGCCGTAATTCCTGCAAAAACATGTGCTGCCTGTCATCCTGAATGTGCTCAAACATGTTATGGACCTAATGCTAATCAATGCGTTGGCGAGTGTAAACATTATCAGGTAAGTAAAGTAAAGTTAATTGTTTCCATAGTAGAATAAAAGTGAGGCAGGAAGAACTCGGCTGAATTAAGCTTATCACGCAAAATTTATACACGTGTTTAGATGCTATAGATTGAAGTTTGCAAATGAATATTTCTTATTTCACTAGTTATATGATGAAATGATTTTTGAAAATTCAAACCATCTGAAAAAATCCTATCACGAAGCAGCCTCATTAACTATGGTTTTACTGAAATAATAAAACATTTTAATTCATACAGGAACAGAAGATGTGCATTGCGGTAGAGTATAATTCTATTATGGGTGAAATTTATTTTAATAAAGTCACACGGTGTTATACAGTAATATTTACCGATGACGTTTCAAGCACAATTTATTGATCATAATCATATCAGGGTACTCACACAACTTTCTAACTTCGTTTATATAATTCCATTATTTTCCGTCACTTGACTTGATTGGTAGTAGACAGGCTTAGTTAAGTGTCTAACAAATCGAGCAGTGGCACTAACTAGTACAAGAAAAGGCCTAAATGAAATGAAATAAAACAGATAGAAGAAGTGTTGGTGAAAAACAGCTATCCTATAAAATTCATTAGGAAGATCAGAAAAGGTCAAAAGCAAAATAAAAATAATGGGGAAACTAGTAATGATAACATAAATAAGAGAGAATATAAGGCATCTAGATTTATACCATATAAAGAGGGGACATCTGAGACACTACGTAGGATTCTGAATAAAGCAGGAATTAGGGTGGCATTCGAACCTACAAACTCACTCAGGGACAAGCTCTGTAGGTTAAAGGACCCAGTTGACCCAATTAGACAAAATAATATTATTTACAAAATACGTTGCAATGACTGTGAGGTCAACTACATAGGTCAAACTAGTGGGTCGGGGATAGTCAGATTGTCAGAACATAAGAATTTACCTAAGGTAAGAAAGGCTGACCCCGAGAAGATAAGTAATTTAGAAAAAAGTCATCGATTGCACTGAGTGTATTAACACAACGACACAATAGGGTAGGAGAGAGTTAAAATTCTAAGAAGTAATATAGGTAGGTGGAGAGAGAGGTTGATTACCGAATCCTTGATCATCGAGTCTACACCAAACAAGTGTAATAGGAATGACTCATCACTCATACTGGAAATATGGAAAATACTACTACCAATCAAGTCAAGTGACGGAAAATAATGGAATTATATAAACGAAGTTAGAAAGTTGTGTGAGTACCCTGATATGATTATGATCAATAAATTGTGCTTGAAACGTCATCGGTAAATATTACTGTATAACACCGTGTGACTTTATTAAAATAAATTTCACCCATAGTGGAATTATACACTACCACAGTGAACAAGTCTTATTCTTATATTAATTTTGCTAAAAAAAATTTTTTCATGCAGCCGTAGCTCTAGCCAAGTGTTTATTACTCTACAATCAATATGGAGTTTTGCCGCACTTAGCATGAGCTTCGATAATTCAAGTTGCTGATAGAGACAACCGAAATTGTTTCTTTTTATCGGACCTCATATTCATGGCCACCTGAATATTATGATTTTATCATCTTTGGCTGCATAATAGTCTTCTCTTTTTTTTCCGAGAATTACTTATTTGCTATAACAACCATTGAAAACAAGGGGGTATTGGACATCCGTTTCGTCCTACTTTGGGACTCATCGCAAGTATACACCCACTGGGGCTCGAATTTGTAGATGTTAGAATTCATGGAATTTATTGGTTGAATAGCCTGTGAGCTTGCCTTGTAACTGGAAGGTCATGGGTTAAGGCCCGAATAAGCGCCCTGGTGAGTCCCTAACTAGGAGGATACAGCTGTCTAGGACTATCCTGTTTTCAGTTATTCTCTAAGTGATATTAATCCGTCGTCAAACTCGAAATAAGTCCAATCCCTACAACCTACTCTTGAAAATAACTTATTTGTTTGTTTTTATTGTGTTATCCTTTAGAATCTATTAAAATCTTGATAAAATTGTTTATAGTTATCCAAAAAAAAAACGATTCGTTCTTGTGAAGTATGCTAAAACACCACTGTACATATTATTTTAATTAGATTTGAGATGAGTTTCATCTAGAAAGTATCGTCACCTCAATTTCCAGAATAATGTGGATTTCTAGTTTTAATGAATCGTCTTGACTTAGTTTTCTCAGAATTTCGATGCTAGAACGTGGACGTCTGTCTCATCTTTAGGCTGGAGATACCATTATGCCTGGCCGTGGAACTTCCGCTATCAAATAACAAGGTTTTAAGGAAAATAAACAATTATTGTCCGTATCTTGACCTACTTAACTCCATTATTACTTCGAATGAGTAACCTTTTGTTCATACCGACCTGTCCTATAAGATAGGAAAATACTAATAGTCTTAGCTGGTGCTGAATATCAATACAGAAGGCAATATTTCCAATCTACCTGATCTTCGCTACACTTATTCTGTCACAAAACATATTACTGCTCATTTCTGTTGAATTTCCAGTATGTGTGTACCTGTAAACAGAGCAGTTTTTGGAAATTCTAGTCTCACACATTCAAAATGATCCTTGAACAGACTTTATTAGCTGGGCTAATGACTAAGATACCAAGAAACCTACTCAAGATAATTTCACCTCAGGTAACAATTAAAAGCTATAGGATAGTAACATGAGACATGACATTGAAATGCTTTCTGTATTGCAGTGGGTTTTAGTTACCAAATACAAATATTTCCTAGTCGAATAATGATTCTTAAAAAACCACTAACTACTCTGTGTCAAATATCTCTTCACAGCATGGTGATTCTTGCGTACCTGAATGTCCATGGAATACATATATTGAACCGGAAACCCGCTATTGCTCACCATGCAATGAGTCATGCAGTCATATTCTAGCAGCAGGACAAAGTCGACTTTGTAGTGGCCCAGGAAATTTCCTCGGTTTAGGTGGTTGTGAAACCTGTTGGACTGTCATACAAGGTTGGTTTTCTGTGATGACTGAGTTCGTTTAGTTCTTTTATATATGTTTCCATTTCTTTTTAAAACAACTTATCATTCTCTTTATAGACAATAACAGTTTAAAAAGTTATTATATATTAATCAATGAATTCATAATGACAAATTTCACTTTCATTATCATTCATCCCTAGATGAAGTAGTCGACAAGCGGTTACGAAAGTGCTTAATGATTATGGTTTTCTCTGTTTAAGTTAATTCAGGTTTCGCTTCCATCTAAGAGACAATAATCGACGACAATCTATTTGAATAATTTCTCATAGCTATGTTAAGATTTCTTTGTTATGTGCATTTGTATTTAATGCAAGTCAGCGTGCTAGAATAATGGGTGGAATTAGCAGTTATGACCTCCACCTCTATTGATCTTGTCAAAATATAAACATTTATTGATAAATCTGCTGACTTGATCACTGAGTCATACTGTCTTATTATAAACAAAAAATAAAAAGGAACACAATAGCGGCAACAGAGCAGTCTTTTAAAGTTAGTTTTGATAAATTTATACGTCTTACTATCTACGCAATAATTCAAATACATATATTTTCTTTTGCTACTAAAATTCATTTTGAGGTAGTTGAGGAATAAGAAATATTTGAGCCACAATGAACTTTCGGCCAGAAGTCTTGATGTTCACCAGACAATGTTTTATCTTCATTTAGGTTCATATTTCACCTGAAGTAACGAATATCATATGCGGTGAAACTCACAAAATGCATTTTTGCTAAGATTACAATGCACTACTTACTAAGCTGTGACCTTTCTTTTCTGTTTGAATCAAAACAAAGTTGAACTTGGTGAGTAGACAACTGATTTTCCGATTTCAAGAGAGTTAATGAAGCTTCATGATAGTGACTAGCAATGGATTCGAGGATGTATATTTCGTCTTATTTTGGATCTGTTGCTAACATCGCATTGTTGCTCAGTCTGATCGCATCAAAAATCAGTGGAAGTGGATTTTAGCTAGCAGAAAAATAGTTGATTCTGATTTGAAAACCATTGAAATCCATTGCTTTTTGTTCGCTACTTTGTAACTCTAATTCATCGCCTTGTGCATAAGACGAAATTTATAATAGATAAGGTTAAGATAATCACTCAGTGAAACTAATTAACCGTTCATTATTTTTGATTGGAAGAAACATATGCGCGAAATTTTGCTTTCTGTGTAAATTAATATTCAGTTATTTCATCTAAGGCGATAATTTCAACATTTATTTCTTCGAAAAATAAAAATTTTCCGGAAAAATGTTTTACATTGTATGCGTTTTTATTCTTAGACAAAAATACAAATAAATACCAGTGTCTACCAGACGACTGTCCTCCCAAGCATTACACTGAATCTTATCAAACACAAGATTTTATTAACAAAGAGAAAATTATGGTATCCTTCCAGACCCCAGTGAAAAAAGGTGAACTCGGTAGTATGATTCGTGTGTGTAAACCGTGCCATCCATTTTGTGACTTGTGTACAGCCAATGGGACGCATGCATCTATTTGTCATAGTTGTGCGCATTGGTGGTTCAAATCAGAATGTGTTGCAGTTTGTCCACCGGGTAAGTTCTTTTTTTTAATTTTCTTCACTATTATCACGGAAGCTTATCATGATGTATCAGTTCAGTCCCATTATTGATTTAAATGTTTAAAAGTGTAGCGAATCAAAATGGTGAAACCATTACATTAGAGTCAGGAGATATGGTATATATAATGACTTCCATATATGTAATGGAGAGTTACTTGTTCTAAAATTCAGAATTTAAACAGTGTACAGTTGGTTGTAATCGTCAGTCAACGACTGAATCTTAGACATTTGCCCAGCTTGACGCTGTGTGTCTGTGACCTAATATCCACAATCATCAAGTACCGAAATCGCCTTTGAGATTAAGTAAAAAGTAGTTCCTTTTTAAGAAATTCTACAATGCAGTTACCTTACTGATTAGATATATATGGATATATGAGTTTGATGAAGTGAAAAGTTTTCTTCCTGGTTAATCAGTAGATTTCTGTTGTCGTAAGACGCATAAGAAAAGCGATTTGCTTCACTATCGTATTCTCTCTCTGAAATTCCCAGTGAAACGCTTGGCAATCTGTAAGCTTATTCTATCCGCTGAGTTTAATAAATAATAAAGAAAAATAAAAGGATTCTTTATGCCTTGTTATCCATTGAATTTGTTATCTTAAGGTAGTGTACTCAGTTTCCTTTTACTATATCATGATTGCAAGATTAACTTGTTTCTACTTAATATTTATCCCTTCAACAGTTCAACACAATAAATAAAAGTTTGCATAAATTTCATTTCCATTAATCATGCCTGTCTTTCATCTCACAAAATATCATAGACTGAAATGCAAAATTCATTCACATAGTTTGCACTCTTATACATCTCAATACTAGAACTAGCAAGATTCCTATAACAGTAAGTGGTAGGTAGGTCAATAGGTGATAAGATTTATGTAATGCAGGCATGTGAAAACAAGGGGAAAATGTTTGAGATGATGCAACCATGCTTTATATATATGTTTAGTGTTGTTAAGATGTGACGAGTTGATTAGATTGGTTAGGCGAGTCTGCAAACATACAAGCATGCATATCTATACATATGAATAAATTAGATATAATTGAAATGCAAATTCTGTGAACACTACACACAGTTTATCACTTACAGTTCATTGCTTGGATTTAAATGGATATATGCGGATGAAAGTGATTATAAATAAAAAGGTATACTCCTGTCTAGCAATTATCCATGCTACATATATATATATGCTTTCAACGGATTTATCAATTTATCAATTGTTGCCATGATAAAAACGCTTGACATTTGTGGGTCTAGGCTTTCTACAACCAAAAGTATATATATATATATATAATGGCTGGAGATAATCGACAGGAAGCCTATGACCTAGGTTTCGTGCTTGTTAGCACTCACCACTCCACAAGGCACATCTGCAGTCTCGAAGTAACTCATGTACCCTACTGAGATTCGAACCCGTGTCATCCAGTGTTGCAGTCAGAGACATTGCTACTGAGCTATACGAGCTCGCGGTTGACATCCTCTAGAACTGTATTAGGATACCTTCGTTGGACACTAGTAACTAGTGTAATGTATCTGGTCCTTTCTTTAGTGCAGAATGAATTCTATCATTCAGGTTTGCAATGTGGCCACCATGCCACTAGGTGGCTCGCCATCACGATGCACTCTGAATAAATGTTACTAGATGTAAGCCGTGTTGCGTAACTGATTATCATCAAATCAATGTACACCGTGATGATGAGCTACCTAGAATGGTGGCCACATTGCAAACCTAACTGATAGAATTCAGTCTGCATCAAAGAAAGGACCAAAAACATTACACTAGTTACTAGTATTCAATCAAAGTTTATATATATATATATATATATGACTGGACGTGCATGTTGACTGTACAGTGGAATGTGATTCTGATGTTTACATGTTAGGAAGGTTTACAGGACAGTATAAATTCGGTTTTCTGTATAGATATTTACCTATAAATTTAAATATAAAACATTTGTGAATCACATACTTTTTGAAGATCTAGACATACAAATCTTTTAATCTATTTTAATGATTTTTTATCACATCGAACCTGTCGTGGCTATTCGATTTTGAAGTCTAATGTCATTTAATTACTATTACTTTGATTTTTTCCACTTGTCTGGGACTTGAAATCTAGATTAACACTGATTTATACTGATTCAATTATGACCCTTTAAACTTCTCTAACTTTTATTCATTAATGTATTTATGACAAGTACATGTGTGATCAGATTGTTTCGAAAGGGTAAATAAGATTCATTCACACTTAAACTACCACTTGTTTCATGTTATGTTCATCTGTTTGTTAATTCAGCTAACTGGAGTATAAATAGTTATGCCAATAATACTTTGATAATGTGCTTTTGCTGATGAAGTCTTTCTTAGAAGATTTCAGACTCCCATTAGATATTGGTGTGAGCATCTACTGCTTCGGAGGCTAAAATACAAACTTTTTCAGTTTTCGGCTTCAGTCATTACCATTTCAGAAAAACTAGTGTCCATTCGAAAATATCCAATATCCAAGAGGTCAATCGTGAGCTTGAATAGCTCAATGGCAATGTCTCTGACTGCAACACTGGATGACACGGGTTCGAATCTCAGTAGGGTACATGAGTTACTTAGAGATTGCATATGTGCCTTGTTGAGTGGTGAGTGCTGACAAGCACGAAACCTACTTCCAAGGCGTCCTGTCAATTACCTCCAACCATTTGATATCAATAATTCACAATGCACGGTGATGGTGTGTCACTTAGCATGATGGCCACATTGAAAACTTGACTGACAGTTTTTATTCTACAGCAAAGATGGGAATAGATGCATCAGACTAGTTATTGACTAGTGTCCAATCAAAAATAACCTTATTCTTCAGCAGTAGCAGAATATGAATTGTATAGCATAGAGTTAAAAGAAAGAAAATTAACAGTAATAATTACTAAGTTTATAAGCATAAATTAAATGTTATCCAGTTAATTTTCGTAATAACCTCAGTAAATAAAGTAAATTATGCTTGTGATACGAATGTCATAAAAACAGACAAAATACGAATAACAGTAATGAAATTGTTAGTAAAATGATTTATAATCCACAATGGTCATGAGGTTAAATCCCATAAATAAAATGATTTTTCGTCATATTCTGCATGCCAACAACAATCAGTGGATCTGCTTCACTAGATGATTCAAAATGAAACTAGATGGAAACACAATTCAGTGTTTGGCGTTATGTGAGAATGCAATCATTAATTTGTCGTGATTTATTTAGAATAAGAGAAAATCCTGTTACTCATTCAAGGTATTAAACTCTACATAGAATGAGAATACCAGGTTAGGAAAGAAGTCAGAGGGATTAGAAAACTTTGATTTTCGACTTTTAATGATAATCCAAGTCAGCAGTTGATTGGACATATTTTTAAGATTATGCATCATTTTTACATTTAGTATAAAACAACTGTATGTCTCAATTTCGATGGCATCCTTAACCTCTAAGTACACACAACATACAGTTTTCATTGACTGTCTAATGGGAAGCTTTACCAGTGTCCGCCAACTCAGATAATAATCTTATAGCATTTAAAAGGCTGTGGATAACATTTTTACTAACCTAGTTGGAATCAAAATTATTATTTCTTCTTATTTGCGCTAAGGATTTCACTTGTGATATTTCATCACTAGTATTCTTGAAAACTACTTGTTCTTTGTTTCAGAACTTGAAAGCATTTACCTTCACTATCTGGTAAATATCCAAATTCAAAAACTCAGTTGGAAATTATTTTAGTCGCCTACATGATATACATGGGTGCGTCAGTGGCACAGTGGTTAGGACGCTCGCCGACCATGCACATGGTCCGGGGTTCGATTCCCGGCCGACAAGGTACTCCGTTACCTCGCTAAGCCAGAAATAATGCTGGTAAAGAGGAAAGGTTGGGCATGAGGCTAGCAACACGATCCTGTAAAAAAATAAGCACTGCTACAGAAACTTCAGACGTCTAGTTTGAAGCCCTGTCTTCCACTGGGAACGTGAAGGAATACAAAAAACATGATATACCGGAAATGAGTCTAAGTTATAAAATTTACCCTCCGTTTTATTCTGACTTAAATTATACACAGAGAAAATGTTTTCCAGAGTCTAGTGCTACTTACAGAAAACTCTTCCTTCTAAAACTGTAGTTCATACATCGGAGATGTACAATTGTAGTGCATGACAAGGTGAATAAACGCGAATTTCATTCACTGAACATTCAAAAACAATTGTTTTCTTTTGAGTGGGGTACATGGCAAGTGAACAACAAAATTCAACAAGTTGCTGGTTACTTTGAGATAGTGAAAGCAACTAGACTATTTGTGATAAGCAATTTAGTAAAGAGTAAGTTTCGACTGATAAAAGTTGTTAGACATTATGTAAGACTAAAAGACCATTTTAGGTGCTGTATTGATACTGATAATATCTCGATACTTGTTATACGGAATAGTTGTAAGACGGTGACGCAATAGTTATCGGAAAATAATCGATCCTTCAACATATATATTCCACTTCCAACGCATTCCTGTCTATTTACCTTTGAATTCTTTTCTGAACAGTTTCAATTTTACCTACCTTTGTTTTGCCTGAAGGCATAAAAATGTAACAAACAAGTTATTGAATCATTTTGAAATAGAACGCTGTTTGACATGCTAACAGAAAAAATATCGAGTGATTATTATAAATAGACTAATATGTTGTCAACAGCGTCATTTGCACATAATCAATGCATGTGCAAGTATCCATATTCCACCAAAGTTGAATATGTTATTTTTCATTTATTTTTTGACAAGCACATAATTTCAACTATAACCGAATAATGCAGTCGAAAAGTTCATGTTAGTGGATGATAACTTAAATGCTGAATAAGTATTATGATACATATTTACGCAGAGAGAATAAGACAGTGAGCATCATGAAATGATATATGCAATTACAAACATTGTGTATTATTGAACGACTTCAAGACAAATCTCTCTTGCCAGCATTTTGTAGAGTATCTTGATATCTAAAGTTCAAATTATAGTATGCTACACTTTTGAAAGATAAAATAATTACTTAGTTCATACCTTTGTGTTTGTGTCAAGGTCGGAAGTTGATTCGAGAAGATTCTTAGACGTATTGTTACTTTGTTAAAAAAAATTGTATCATTTATTAGAAAAAACGGTTAATTTATGATTTCCATTAATGGTAAGATTGTTTTTATTTTCTCCAATATTATAGCGGAAACTTATTCACTTCCTGAGTCAGATAAATCGTCAGAGAATGAAGAAAGTTTCAAAAATGACTTCATCACCTTTAGTAACAATACTCAGCTCTCATCGACTCAGCTAAAAGAATTCATGTTCCTATCTAGTAGTACTACTATTTCTAATACCAGCGCTGCCACTGCTGACGATCAGCCACAATACAAAATGTCCCAACCACCTGCCCCAGCATTTTTGGTCAAGCTGAAACGTTCACAACGTCGTTGTCTCCTGTGTCATGAACAGTGTATTCAAGGTTGCTCTGGGCCTGGACCAGAAGACTGTGTGAAATGCCGAAACTACCAAATAGTTATAGATGAAGAAAACAATAAGGTGTGCTTATTCACTGACTCCATATCAACTGTATACTAATCGAATGATGTTTATTTTCAAGAAGCCGGGCTTCTTTTTAATAAAACCCATATCTAACACGAAACTAGGCTACTACCTATCATAATCCCTTCATTTCCTATGCTGATACGTTTACGATAATTTTAAAATGAATTGAAGTTATTTACATTATTAATCTTGAAAAGACAACATAAAAGAGCCAGAATATAAATAAACTCCGTCTTCTAATAACGCTATCCTAAAGATAGAGCCTATATTATAACAGTAAATGAAATGAAATGTGTTTAAGTCAGCTTGCGTCTTTAACACTTTTGTTGGAACATATATTTTTTAGCATCATAACTTCGTCCAACGTATTTAGTCGTCATCAGATGACGATTAGGTGTTCTATGAAGAGCCAGTTTTTAATTATTTTGGATGGCAAATGTAGCAACACTTGATGTAACTTTTCTGAAAAAAGGTTTCTAGATGAGATTTATAAGAGTACCACTGTTATATAGTGGCTATGTTTTCGACAACAGTTGTTTATTTTTGTGAAATAAATAGCTACATCAAACCATAATGATTTTCTGAGCTTTTGCTGGCCGAAAGGTGAATGAAATCCAAAAGTACCAGAAATCAGTGACTTTATGGTTTGCAGTTCAGTAGCCTATGCTTTTATCGCCAACCTCCAAGATAAAACTTGGTGCATACATTTCATTTGGTAAGAGCTGCAGTCGGAACTTTAGCTACGTCACAGCATAGTAACTAATTACAGACAATTACGTGAAAACCAAAACCTCTTATTCTCAAATTTTTTTATTTTTTTATTTTTTTTTATTTACAGTTTGATTCCACACTGTATTTTTGGTACAAGTGTGGAATTTTCAGCGTGGATATCGGTAGCCTATATTTTGCAGGCCGACCATAGATATCAGGTGTGCGGCGGCGTGGGCTCGAACCCCGGACCATGTACATGGTCGGCGAGCGTCCTAATCGCTGTGCCACCGACGCAATAGCTAGTGCATTAGACTGGTTATGCGAAAACATTGTTGCGAAATGTAAAATAAACGACTACATTTTTTGCTGTATGTAACCTCACAGCATGTTAATTTTGTAACAGTTTTAGCATCTACACTGATGAGTACAATATTTGTCACTCCACTCTGAATAATAAATAAACATTTAAATGTAATAGACAAAGCAGTCATTATAAATAGCAGAACTTTAGTTAAGTCTTCATTAATTAGTTAATAATTAATTTTAATGTCTTTCATCATCATCTTCTTCTTCAGTTCATCTGTAATTCATCCTGCCCAGAGGATCGTAATCACATTTCTCATGGCATGTGTTTAACAGCTGAACAGCATGCCCGTCTATCTGGTCAAACAGCTCGAGAACTACGAAATCGTATACTTATCGGTGTTGCTGTTTCAGTTTTTGTAATTATTGCACTTGTTACAATCATACTAGTTGTTTGCTTGAAACGAAAGGCTGAAGCAGAAAAAGTTCGTGAACAACTACGCTCTGTTTATACTAACTTGCTGGAACCTGATATGAAAGTGAGTTTTTAAAAAGCGGTTTTTTTTCTTAAACACTATCTGGATAAAATACAAGCCGTTTTCTCTCCATACCTTTATAACACAAATCCGAAAATTTACTTTTAACTTTTGTGTTAAATTTAAACACACCTAGGAGGTGTATTAATGAACCGTCAAAAAAGTGAAATTAAGATTCTAAAGCAAACAGGGAAATCTTTATTTCCCATAATAGAATAAAATTTTCAAATGTTCAGTAATTAATTCGTTTTGTTCAGGCACGTATAAAGAGTCATTTTTTGAGATCCAGATTGACTAACCATACTTGCAAAGAGTGTACTTAGACAATAAAAATGGATTTATCTATTTTGGATTTTTTTCATCAAGCTAGTATACACATTTTTGGACTGATTTAAGTTAATATTTTGTTTGAAGGTAAATTAGAATAAAAGAATGTATATTTTATCCGTTACTCATCAGATGGGAAGACTTCATTGTAACAGATTCAGGTATTTTTCAATTCAATTGGATGTCATTGTTTATTGCTTCACAGTATACGACGTAGTCCATTAGATTTCTGTATTGCAATAGCCACCCACTATTTAACGTGCCTACATCTACAATGAACCTTGTTATTACTGTAATTGTGTATCATAAAGAAGAATGTGTAGGCGTATATTGTTGCATTAGTCTTATATTTTGTTGGTTAATACCGAAGTATTGTCATTTAAGAAATTGTGTATTGTCTCTACTCCTTCAGATGAATGATGAAGGAAGTTACATGTTGCCTAATCAGAATATGACTACCCTTTTAGGAAATACATTAACTTCCACCAGTAGACGTCTCCTGATATCGTCTGAAAACAACTTTTGCTACAAGTTGATGCTGTTTTTGACTTTACTGTTATTGTTTTTCTACAATTTAAAATAAAAGACCCAATCAGTAAGTCGAGAGCCAAATATGGGACGGCTGGAAATGATCAACCAAGATGATCTAGCCTGTGATTTCAATGCAGCTCCTCTTGGAACGGGATCATTTGGAGCTGTATACAAAGGTATTTGGAAAGTACCCAAGCATGCTTTGCTTCGCTACAACTGGAATCGGGGTGCCCAGCTGGATGTTGCTATAAAAGTTATCCTCAACGATTCAACAGATTGTTCTGTAACATCAAACCCATCTTCCCCATTTGTGTTCAATAATTCATCGCCTGAGGAATCAAAGAGAGCATCTGCACGAGCTAATATTGAAGAACTGCTCCAAGAAGCTAAGGTATGTTCCGTGAAAACAAATAATAAGTTTACCATTATCCATGTTTTAATAAATAAAATTCCACAGACCTAGATAACCCAATTTATTGTGCCTTAGTAGCCTAGTTGAGAAAGCTTTGCTGTTTGAAACGATAGATGATGCTTTCGAATCTCCGCAGGAACAACCTCACTTCATTAAATGCAGATATATCCGGACGGTGAGTCCTGAATAAGTCGAAAGGCACGTTCTGAATCCCGCTGTTAGCTTCCATCAACCTAGGTGGCTTCTCTGTTTTCTCAAATTTTTAATAATTGATTAAGAATTAGTAAAACGATAAGACTTAAAATCTCTAGATTATACAAGGTAAGTTTAGCTTTTGTGACTGAAACTTATAAAAGGTATTTCTTCCTAAGCACTTATCCATAAACATCTTCATGAGAACTTATGACTTATTCAATGAAGTATCCTAATATGACACTGATTCATATAAAAATAATTGTTAAATTAAATAGTGGTGTGTATAGTGCGACATGCTTTTCAAAATCCTTAAATATTCTGCCACAAATTACTAACATTTCTTACAAATAAGAGAAGAAAGCAGATGTTCACTTGCTGATTTTCAGCAGCAGTTCAACTTTCGTCGATAATTATGTTGACGTTGGCTACTGACACTTCTAGCAGTTTTTGTTTGAGGGTATGTGGGTAATAGTTTCCAATGATCTAAAAATGTGTTCATATTTGTTCATAAACAATCCAAAATGATAAAACACTATGTTTTTGTTTTACAAATGTTTCTCATAAATAAATTCGTTTTTATTCAAAAATATTATGATTGTCAGTGTTGTTCACGCATTGTAATGGATTAGTTAGACAGCAACAGATTTCCTGTTATGTTTTCTTCTCCCCCGTTTTGTTGATATTATTACCCTATCTTCTAGATTATGGCATCTGTCATGCACCGTCACTGTCTTCCACTAATCGGAATATGTCTTTCCAGTGAACGTCACTGTTTGGTCTCAATTTTTGTTGAGCTCGGCAGCCTAGATCGTTATGTTAAACAACACGCAAATGAATTGAACAGTCTTACACTTTTATCTTGGGGTGAACAAATTGCTGATGGAATGAGTTATTTGGAAATGCGTGGAATTATTCACCGGTTAGTCACTATTAGATGCCTTGTTATTTATCATATGTTCTTGTAACTGCTTAACCACAATACAATGAATTGTGCATAAAATAATCATCTTTCTGAAACTTCTTAGTCTGTAGTATAAAATCACATATCAAGCTACGGTTCAGAATTCAATCAGTAGCAACTGACTCACTGAGAATTTTGCATGACTCATGAGACAGACTGACGTAACCCCTAATAGATAAAAAGTATGTTACGGAACTGATTTCTCAACAGAGTATTAACACTTACTCCTTTTAAGTGATTTGGCTTTCTGACAGATTTTGAGGTCTTTAACTCTTTCAAACTGTCTTCTAAAACGTCTTGTAAAAGAGCGGTCAAATGTTCTCGCGCTCAGCTGTGGTTTCGCATTCGGTTAGACCTAAGACTAAATCTTGAGGTCTTCGGAATTCAGAAGCTCAAATTACACTTATACTTTTAGTACCGAAACCAGTTGAAGATGCTGCACAGAAGCTTAACGGCGATGAACTTGACTTCAATAAATATAATGCGTACGTAATATTAAAAATCACAAATTCATCCAAACAACTGTATAGCAGTATTTCTTCGACTGGTGTCAACTATAGAATACAAAAAATAATTTGGTATAAGATGAAAGCGGCCGACCAACACGGAATCTTACATGTGGGTTTTACCTCTGATAATTTCCGTCAGCAACGCACATCTCAAAATTTCAAGGAAATCTTCATCTGCATCAACAGGTGATCAGTCATGAGAGTTCGTTAACAAAGTATCGAAATCGTAGCAAATCCTTATATAGAAATTCATTCATCGAGTGCATGGTTAAGTCATCGCACTAACTGATGATATACTGTCGTGCATCCACCATATATTCGTCTTAAAACCCATTGTTACAAATTGCTTCGCGCAATTACAGTCTGGTTCAATCAAATATTGACTTCATTTTAAAAAATGTATCTCTTACATGGTCATCCGTCATATTTAACTCTAATTTTAAAAACTCGTTAATTTCTCAACATACAGATCACATAGATCAAATTAATTATTGATCATGAATTTCACATTGAGATTCTCATTGTTCAGCGAAGAAAACAAAAATATCGTATTATCAAACATAACTATTAGAAATTGATATCACATGATGTTATATATATATATATATATATATATATATATATATATATCGTATGTCATCGGCATACTACCTACTGTAAGTATCATCTGACAACTCACTCTTCTATGAAAGCGTCGCTTAACTGATGACTTTCAAGAGCAGCCCTACTGAATATGCCTATTCAGATATCCTTATCAAGAAATACACTAATGAAGAAAGAAGGAAACAGATTTCTACTACAGATGCATTGTCACGCCGAAGAACATTATATATCATCAATCCTGCATCTTATAGCTAGTTGAAAGTTTCACTAATAATCCATACTACAGAAGCTACAGTAACCGAAATCACGAAGACAAAACTGCGAGTACAAAAGAAAAACAAGTGAATTCACCGATACCAATCAGCTTCCTCTATCAATTTATAAACTACTAACCGTCCTGTCATCTCACACTTTTCAACACTTAATTCACATCAGACTTTTATTTATCCTCCTATATCATCCTTTCTTCACAAACAAACCTATCCTATGCATTCATCATTGTGTTAATTACATTTCCGGACACCAACTTCGCTGTCCACACGCACACACACACACACCTACATAAATTATATTTCTTCTTCCCACTATTTGTGTTCACATTTATCCACATCAACTTCATTATTATATTGAGTAGAAATTCAAGTTAAACACTACTTATCACACGAATCCACTGTTATACAATTCATTGTCATTTGAGATCATCTACTTCAACACAGACTACTCGGTTTTGAATTCACACACACACCTTCGAATGGAAACAAATGCTTTATTGAGGAGACTGTATGACTGTTCTGACACATCCTCCCATGGAAACTTCTGTTCGACGTTATGAAAGTCCTACTGTTATTAGCACACACACACACATATGTCACAGCCCACCTGGTAGATCGCTGGTTACACGTTATACGGGTTTCCTTTTCACCTTCAACCATCATCCACTAGACATTTATTCCCTAACTACCTAATGTAATGTATGGCTTAAGAAGCTGCAGAGTACATCCAACAGTTTGATTGGACACTGGTTAGTAACTAGAATCATGTGTATAGTCCTTTGTTGAGTGCAGACTGAATTCTTATATCAGTCAAGTTAGCAATGTGGCCACCACGTCACTAGGTGGCTCACCATCACAATGCACTTTGAACTGTTGTTATTAGATGGTGTCCGTATTGCAAACTTGACCGATAGAATTCAATCTGTACTAGACAAAGGACTGAACCCTTGATACTAGTTAGTACCTAGTGTCGAATACAGCCCTACAGGAGGTCAATCGCGAGCTCGAATAGCTCAGTGTCAATGTCTCTGACTGCAACACTGGGTGACACGGGTTGGGATCTCATTGGGGGACATGAGTTCCTTGGAGATTTCAGATATGCCTTGTTGAGTGGTGAGTGGTAAAAACCAAAGAACCTTCGTCTATTTTTTTTTTTTGATTTACAGCTTGATTCCACACCGTATTTTTGGTACAAGTATGGAATTTTCAGCGTGGATATCGGTAGCCCGAAATTCGCAGGCCGACCATAGATATCAGGTGTGCGCCGGCGTGGGCTCGAACCCCGGACCATGTACATGGTCGGCGAGGATCCTAACCACTGTGCCACCTAGCCAGCACTTTCTGGCGACCACTTTCAACGGTCTAGTAAAACCAGTACCCAACACTTTAATTTATCATATGAATCATCAAACAAGCGCAAGTGTTATTGTTTTGTAAGTAGTGTTGAGGAATAGGTATTGTGGGCAGTCTCCTTCTAATTATCTCATAACTGTAATACGTGATTGACTGATACAGTCGGTAAAATCAGTATTCAGTATGACGCGTTAAGATGAAGACTTACCTGGAGTATATAGCAGTCGTACAAAACTGACAAGAAACTTTTTATATGCATACAGATGAAATGGCCATGTCTTAAGGCTTCATGCTTAAATTAACTATGCCATGCCAAGTTCAGTCAGCACTTAATTTTTAGAAAATAGTCTCTTTATTCCTCACTGATGTCATATGTTCCATACATATATTCCAGTTATATCTTTTTATGCTATTCTGTACATGGACAACAGATTCGATGAAGAAAGGTTCAATAGAGCTATCATGTAAATGAAAGAGCAACTTTAATGTACTGTTTGTTGTAGTGTGCTGTTTATATTTTCACTTTTGTGGAAAAGCACGGCAGTTGTCTTCAAAGTCTGCCGATAAATCCCACTCCTTCAAAACACCTATATAATCTATTTTTCATACATTTTTATAATAATTCGTTTTTATTGTGTACACACGTGTGGTGTATAGCGATTTGGCTGCCCGTAATGTCCTTGTTCAAACTCGTGAACACGTCCAAATTACTGATTTTGGTTTGGCTAAAATGTTGGAACGTCGTGATGAAGACAGTGTTATTGTTAAGGCTGGTCGAGTTCCGATACGCTGGTTATCTATAGAAACACTACAATATGGAATATACTCGCATAAAACTGATGTCTGGAGTTACGGTGAGCTATGTTCTTATCTTTAATTCTGTTAATTCCTCATGATTTTCTGGATTTAATTCTTAGTCTCTTTCTTATGGTTTGGTAACAGTTTGAACTTCAATGATTTAGTTTATTTACGGACCTTAAAGGCTACTTGTTTTTCAGATCCAACTGCAAGTAGAAATGAAACCCATGGCTGCAACAAGAAGAGTTATATTCACTTGTAACACTGTGATTTTCATTTTGCTCTGGATATGATATATATATATATATATATATATATATATATATATATGTATTTATTCGAGTTAATGTTTTGTTTATTTGAGTCTATTATCATTTTCTACTACATGCTTGTTAAGCATTCATCCTATTTTGAATATTCTCATGCTGGTTTCTCCAGTGTAATTGAGATAGTACGTCTGATAGGTAAGAATGGTGTACTTAGCGCATTATTATAGCAAATAACTGGCCACCAGATGATCGAATTGTGTTTTATGCACCGTCTTTGACTTTGAAGTCAAATAAAACAAATTTGAATTAGACAGACAACGGTGTTTCACTCATCAATGTATGCAGAAAAGTATGACACTCATAATCATACGATCTTGGTACTTATGCTGTATCACTCACTGTCTATCTGTTATTTTTTTTATCTCTGAGGTATTGATCAGCTTATTAATTTGCAATAATTCAGCAAAATATCAACAGTTTCTAAAAGTTCCTTTCATTTTCTACTAATTCTTACTCGTTGATAGTTATTTACAGACTCATTCTATTATTATGTTATGTCAAAAGAGTGATAAATGAGCTGCAAATGAATATACACCCAAATGAACAAAACGAACGAAGATACATAAACACAACCATAAGTATGCATGCATACAGAGAAAAAGGATGGAACAAGATGTGAACAATTAAGTCAACGGAATCATACTGTTTTGAATAAGACGTTATGTTGACAATAAAAAATTGTTAGGGATTTCTTACCGTCTCTTGTTTGATGACGTCGAATATGTCCCAAATACTTAAGAGTATTTCCTCATACTAACTAATTAGTATCTCTATTTTAATAAGCATGAGTCTTTTCTATAATATTTATCAAGACAAATTTATTCTTTTTCGATACGAATAAAACAATGTGTTTGGATAAATGGCATGTTCCTAGGAGGCTTAAATTAACACTAGGATAAATTTATCTCGATTCTCCTTTATATATATATATATAAGAAGATGGTTGTATGACTTAAGGACACATTAATTGTATTCAGCCTAAATGACAAAAACCTGGGATTAGAATGCACTCCAGTTACTTCTACGGACTTCCGCAGTCTTTTTAGACATCTTCAGCGGAAACTTTAACTTATCTGGATTCTCTTTGACTGATTTAATTGTAACAGTCGATGATCTTTATTGTAATTCATTGTTAGATTACATTAGTATCGATTGTTTTATTAACGTGGAATTTCGCTTTATCGTCATATGACTTATGCTTTATTAGTTGACATTTGATCTATGTCAGTGTGGGTATTGATAGCAGATTCCTCTGAGCACTGAACTTCTACAAGCATTCTGGCACTTTTGGTGTTTTCACTGTTTACCATTCCAACATTTTATCAGTGATATCATTATTCTTAATTGTCTATATGCATCAATATGAACGAATACTTGTCGTGTCTTTTATCAACTAGTTTATGATCTTGGACACGGAGTTAAACAGGCCGCCCGCCCTTCAAAACGTTGCCATTTATTTTTCAGACAGTGGTAATCTTGCCCACCTTTTCTGTTTGGTCTTTTGACCTGCATAGTATTGAATGAAGTGATTGTGTTAGTTTTTGTGTTATTATCTTTTCTGAATAACTTTAGTATTACGGCTGTTATTTCATAAATATTCTTTATATGTAGTAGGATGAATTTTCTTGTAGTTTCCGATAAAATAATATTTAGTTGGTAGGTTTGATTTCTTGAACACAGTTCTAAAGGCAATTCTCTTCCATCCTCCTCATAACTGGAGTGCTGCAGTATGTTTTGGCTCTTATAAAAATAATGCGTGTACACAGGTTCTTTCGTATGTTTGTTGTTTGATTATTTTGTTGATCTGAGTCCTGTACACTTGACTTTCTAGATTTCCTGTATTTGTTTTGTTGACTAAGACATCTAAGAAAGGAATTTTCTCTTTGATTTTTCCTTCTCTTGTGAATGTGATGTCTTCATATAAGTTGTTGATTTTGATTAATTTATTAGTGCTTTCTAAATCACCCCTTCCAATGATGAGAAACTGGTCGTCTACATAACGTTGCGAGATTTTCGGTCTTAGTATTATTACTAGTAGTAGTAGAAGTATAGTTTTCAGTCTTTGCGTAACAGCTTCAGAGAGTAGCAGTGAAATGAGTTGTCTCCTCTGAATTACTTTTATTTGTCCGTATATTTAACTACTGAACTGAAAATATGTTATAATACATAAGTTCTATAAGTTCTATCCAACTTGAATATTTTAATTGTTGGTTTGTAGGGATTTGATTGGTTTGCAGGATTTCATCATGAGCTGACATTAGTCAGAGAACCATTGGAAAACCTGGGAGTACTGGACAGCTGTTTCGTCCTAGTTTGGGACTCTTAATCTGTATGCACCCATCAGGACTCGAACCCAGGACCTTTGAATATTTCACTTTTGTATGTGCATCTCAGTATAAAGTAATTGTTGCATATTGAGGTCTGCATTAAACATGTTCTCTAAAAAGACAGTGATAGTTTCACAGTCAAAACACAGCTCAGAGAACACATGCACATCAAAATCATCGACCTGAACTATTAAATCTTCTGTATTATTTTGAAGGTGAACATCTCTCTATACACTGTTAAGCTTCCTTGTTTAATGTTCTATGATTTATTAGAGACTCTCATGATGATTTTTAAACACTTTTATCACAGAGACTAGAAAGGTCTGCTGATGTAACACTGCCAAAATGTCTTTTGCTCAGGACAGAGAATCTCATGCCTTTTGCTCCATATGAAAACAAAATGTTGGCTGCTTTGTTTTGTATGTAAGAAAAATAGTACAAACATTCGATTTGCACCCTAATTACTGTCTTTAACAACTAACTGTATCTTGTATCTTTTCAGTGAATGGGCAAACCAGTTTATGAGTCTTATTACCTAGATATTAGATCTTTCTTTCAGGCGATATCATTTTGTCTCATAAACTGTATACCGCTGGAAATATAAGTAGATATTAAGAAATAATATACAATTCAGTATTTATCAGTAATTTAAGTAAATAAGCACATCCAGTTGTCGGCAAATTTATCGGATTGTTTATATCATCATCAGTCGTTCGTTATTGAGAAGTTATTCAATCTATCAGCTTTTTGTGTGTGCGCCTGCATTTACACCTTACACATACATACATCTCAAACTAGGTAGACTTGATGTCAGCTAAATGAAAAGAATTTTGTCGTTTCTTTTATGTATAGCACCTGTAAACGCATTATAGATTAAGTGTTATCACAGTTATATCCACGTAGAAGAGTGTCTGAATTTCTTGGAACTTGTATTTCTCCACTTATCAGACAGACACTTTGTTAGGGTGAATGAAAAAATTTTCAAAACTAATCAATAGAATATACTCATCGGATTGTAAATAGCTGTATTCTTATTTAATTAACATAGTTAATCATTTTATGATATTTCACTAGAAAACAATTTGAGACTAAATAGCTGGTGATTAATTTAAGTTATATATATTTGGTTTCGTCTAACTGCAGGATTCTGAACACGAATTTCCATGTCTTTATAAGTTTTCCACCAGTTAGCTATTCTAATTTATTATAAGATAAAGGCATATATTTGCTTGCGATACAATGGTGCTTTAATGAATACACTGCTCTAACCACCTAGCACAATGCTCCTTCGTTTATGAGCTTAACATGTCCCCATATTTCCCAACACATTATGACGTAGTGATATTAAGATAACAAGAATTCGATATTTCGATAAGCAGTATCTTTGTTTAACTATTTTAAATGTGATTTAAGAATGACGAGATTGCTAGAAATGATAATAATTCCATCATCAGTAGTACTTAAATAAAATTTATCTATTATAGCGAGAAAATAAACAAATCTGAGACGTATTTCACTTTGGCCTAGAAGTAAGCGAAGAAAAATTTACGTCATAAAATCTGTCTACAGTGATGTGAGACAAGCAAATTCGGCTTTTTTAAGTACTTTTGGCAATTCAATATCAAATTCACCTGGTTAACTGAAGCCATATATCTCAGTGTGTCTATTTGTTACTTCAAAAATTTAACTTATTACAATAGAGTCAATATTTACAACCTCAAAGTTAAACAAGTGAAAGTAAACATAGTTAAAGATCCTTTTCAATCTTGAATAAAACAAAGGAAATGTCTCCTTATGACATTTACTACTGGTCATGGAGGAAACTGACGGATTAGATGAATCTAGGGGTCGATCAACCACTTACTTGTTTGTTGTTAGATTTATCTTGAAAGAATCAGCTCCTTGCTTAAACTAGTCATGGCATATCAATACTCTGACCACTCACTTGCCAAAGTGTTTACAAAGTCTTCAACGGGTGAGTGGAAGTCCACAGTCTATTTGCATTTATCTTAACGAGTTTATTTATGGATTCACATTTTACTACCGACGAAATGTTGAAATTCAACTTGTATTCTGCATTCACAAACGAATGCCAACGACATATGGACATTAAATTCATATATTTACATTCTAGGTGTAACACTATGGGAAATATTTACGTTTGGCAAAAGACCTTATGAAGATGTCGATACTGTGGATATCAAGGACCATGTAATCAAAGGTGGACGCCTGACACAACCGGATATATGCACCTTAGATGTATATATGGTCTTAGTTAAATGTAAGTAAAAACAGTTGAACAAACAACACGAGCGAATTCCTTATGTGTGTATTTTTATTGAGTAATTTCTGTTGTTTCTGCAGGTTTTACACGGTAGATTACATGAAATTTCCCTAAACCTATTTAAACTTTCATAAATTCGGTTATTTCAGTCAACCTATTCTGGATGAAAGCTTATTATTGTTACTGACAATGTCATTATTGAACAAGAGAACACGAAGTTCAGCAAAGATATCTTTTCAGTGATTTCGTTCACAAAAGCTGTACAATCGCATTTATATGCATTAGTTCACATAGATACAATTATTATTTATTATTTAATTCCACATAGTAATGAAGGCGATTAAAGGTGATAATAATTTTCGACTTGACATGAAAGTTCGAAGGTGTGAATATAGATCACAAGAGGCTTAGAGACAAAATTACACAGGATTAGAGAATAGTTTTTAACGAATACAGGTGTGAATGGGATGAGCATGGAAAAGAATTGAAATAATAATATTTTTAACTAAAAATGCGAAAAAGGAAAACAAAAAAATTGAAGGGGGGACAAAAGAGACGTAAGAAAACAAACTAAACCAGAACCATGGTAACCGTAGAGGTTGGACTACTTTCTTTTGAACACACAGCTTCTGTTTTTCGATGCATATGGCGAGGGTTTTTGGAGTACAAACAAGTCGGAAACACACTGCCTTTGGTAGATTTTCGTTTACTTTGTAAATGACTCTGAATGATGACTCAGTTGAGATGCTGTGACAGGTATTGACGAGGTGTTCAGTTATGACACTTCTGATTGGATCAATCTCTCCTCTTTTCAGTCAGGTTGGATGATGTTCTCTAACACATTTTGATAAGACCTGCATAGAACGACCTATGTACCTAGCTCCACACGAGCAAGAGATCTGATAAATGCATACTGAAGTGGTCGTATGCGGAAGTCTGTCCTACACATTACTTCTAAGAAGTGGGCGGCTGGAGAATGTCACGCTTAGAGTTGCTGTAAAAAAGGCCTTCTTTAGGGAACCGGAGATTCTCCTCCTAAGGAAACCTGCTGCTAGGTTCCCCTGAAGTCCAAATTCAAATATACTGTTTTATTTGGCTTGATTTTGGTTTCATGTTCTTCTTGACTGTAAGTGTCTTGAGCAAAGGTATTTTTGGGAAATAAAAGCCCTTCTTCTAAGCAGTCACTACTGCAGATTTTTCTGATACGATGGGCCAATGAGATGATGAGAGCTCTTTTACCACTGACTGGCTTTAGGAGTTTGTCAGTTGACCGTTCCATGATGGTTTTCTGTGGAAAGATCTTTTCACAATCCTATCGTCTCTTCTTGCCTAATCGACATCCAGAAATGGAATCATTGATTCGCTTCCAACTTCCATTATAAGTTTAAATGAAGGATGGTAATTGTTAAACTCCTGTAAGACACAAGTTCAATCAGAATCATCCTGACAAACTATGAAATTATCATCGACGTTCCTTTTTGTACACCAGCAATTTGTCCATTGTTGATTGTAAGATCCCACTTTCCATACTAACCTTAAAGCAGTATGCTACAAGTGGACCAAGGGAAGAGCCCATGACAATTCCGCCTTTTTGTCTCTAGATATCATCGCTGAAGGTAAATTGTACATTAAATGTGCACCTCAGTGACAACTCTTCCAGACATGAGGTTGCCATTCCGATGTTCAGATTCCTATCCTCCATCTATTTTCAAAGGAGACAAATTGTTTCTGTGAGTGGCACATTGGTAAATAGAGACTTTTTGTTCAGCGATTTAATTATTGCTCCAAGATCATACCTTATTAAGATCAAAGTTGATCTCTTCTTTCAGTTAGTAGTTGAACTTCGCTCATCGTTTTTAAAATGACCCGGAATTCGTAGTGGATAAACAGTTTGATAATGAGAAATCCTTTCTGTGATCAGCTGTCGGCTTTTTCGAAACTTTATTTAAAGCCAATAACTGCATTTTTAGGCATGGGTCTCTTTTCTGAACTACTTGTTCTTATTTCGATATATGAAGGGTTGAGGATGACAGTAAAAATGAAGAACTGTTGAGACTTAAGCAGTTTTGTACAAACTAACATAATAAACATCACCAGTTAATTTATTTATTGTTAAACCAATCATTTACAGCTGAATATTCACTAATACAGATATTTGTTCTAAAATGAATTGGTCTTGTTGAACTCACTACTTGGTTGTATTTTGAGAAGCTTCATATGTATATGTGTTCATATATATAAATTTTATAAATAATGGAAGATAACCACTTTCTGGATATCGCGTATCAAATGGTTGGATGATGATTTTGACACAAAATACTAGGTGTAAAGAGAAGATATGCTTTTGGCAGTTTGATTCTCTTCAGACGTACAATCGAAATTGTATATATTCTCTTGCTAGAACATATCATAGTTACAAGACGAAACTAAATAGTGGCAACAGGACATGAGAACGGTTTACTAAAAGTTGAAGGAAAATCCCAGAATGGACCGAAAATTGGTAAAGCTTGACAATGAGATTGAGTGATATTTTTTAAATCATTTTGAAAAATAGATCATGATCAAGAAATGCATTGAAACACAATAAAAAATGATGGTTTGCATTTGAAAATGAAGACAGAAATATTAGATGAAAATTGAAAAATAGCTGCTTAATTCCATGTGAGATACAGGAATTTGGTGAGTTCTTTTTGGCCATACAACTCTGGTTTATCCATTCATACAAGACAGCCTCGGCTACGTAGGCAAGTCAGAAACATATGGTCATGGGTAGATTCCTGTCAGACAACAAGTTCATTGTATACTATTCGCCACATAACATTTTACATAAAATATTGTTCCTTTTCTAAAAATGTTCGAATTAGTCTTATTGAATGGTGAGTTTTATATTATAATATTGAAGAGTTTTAAGCGGTTTTAGTATTCTTGTATTCTCCTTCGTCCTGTAGGTTGGATGGAAGATTATGAGTCTCGTCCTACGTTCATTGAACTAATGCGTACATTTAATAACTTTTGCAAAACTCCTGGACGTTACCTGTACATTGAAGTAAGTTCAGTAATCAATGAAACCAAATTAATTGGTGTCTAATATTGTGTAACAACCTGTTATCAAATGTTTTCTATCGTGATTGATTTCAGTGTTACACTGTTAACTTTCCTTGATCGGATAAATGCATATAATTAGTCAATTCATTTGTGAGATCGTTGTCACACTGCAAAGTACTGTACTGAGATATCTTATCAATTTATAAATGACTCTTTTTCTGAACTACTGTTGTGATGATATCCTCCGATTCCGTTCATTCCACTACACGAAATCATCATCACCCATTTTTGTTGATAAATGAAAACTAGCTACTCTTTTAGATGAGAACATTTTGCATGTACCAATTATCAAAAGTATCATGTTAGTGGTTAAACGTGTATCTTGTGCTCTTAGTTCTCAATATAACTAGCAGACAGAAACTTCGAATTTCTCTTGGTAGTGTTCAAAACTGATAGGAATAAAAGGAACTCGACTGTTCAACACTGATTCACTTTTACTTTGTATGATTCAAGGATGTGTAGTGCAGCCTTCAGTGTTTTAAGAATTGCTTCCTGGTTATTTGGAGCTTTTCTGTTGTGTTGTCAACACAAACGTTTCTCGCGTTTGCTATACGGCCATATTCGTTAGATAAGTTCTATATCTTTTTGCCTGGATAACCTTGACCTTTTATTTTACTCAAATATACTGCTAACCAGAGCACATTCTCAGTTAACTGAGTCCTTAATTTGTGTTTGTCGTCAGTATTTACAGGTTATGTAGAGTACTGTGTTTTTGGGTAACTAGGTAGATTAGCTTAGCAGTGTTTTCACAATAACGTTTCAAACAATGAAGTATGAAATGTTATTATTATTATTTATAACCATTGTAATTTCAGGTAGTTTGCAGCTGATGAGAACCTGTGAAATAGGATGATATCGTTTTATGCTGCAAATCTGGTCTTTGTTTCTTTATTGAAAAAAAACTCATATATCTATTCTTCATTGAGAGCAGGATTTCTCTTTTTGCATAAATACGTGACTTACTTTTCACTTTCATCTTACATAATAGTCTCTTGGTTAAATACATTTCCCATCGATTGAAGAATAAAGATATGAAAGGAAATTAATTTAATACTTTTTAATGAAGAAAAGACTTCCTTAGATAATGGAAGGTCTAATCTTACTAAGATGATGAAATTTCTAAATTTATCTGATCTCTTAAAATATTCAAGCTTATAAAAAGTGTAAATAAAAGGTGGACCTCAACACCAGTATCTAGGCTACTGTTACTTTCATCATACATATACAGTGGCAAATTTTCACTCTTCACATTTGGAAAGTGAAAACGCTGTTTACTAGACAATGAAAATTATTATTTTTTTTCTATGCAGACACAGCAAACTCTTAGTAGAATCTGTACTGATTAGGATATCTTCTTGGAATATGTGAACAAGCTATTCTGAAGACTGATCGCATGCTATCGTTGACTGAAATGAATAAAAACGGATGTTTATTATTACACTGTCAGTTGTTATCTCAGTACTATGGGCAATTTAGTTAATGTCAGAAGGGAAGTATTCACACAAAATCACTGTTTTACAAAACATCGGCATCACTTTGACCTATTGTAAGTAAATAAAAAACATAACAAACCCTGATAATATTCTTTGTTTCCTCATCAAAGTTTTTGTATGTGAAGAATGTTTTCTATTTCACTCGCACACTTCTACACCTGATTATATCACTACGTATTTTTACTTTACCTCGAAATTGGAATAATGAAACAATTTTGGAATTTTGTTTTGCAGGGTGATCAATATGCTCTTAACTACTTTCATAATGCTAACTCAGGATCTGTCAACTTCTCAACTGAATCACACGAACTTCAGCCAATGTTATCAGTTCGAGGCGTATCCGATGATGGTACAACATCGAGTAGAAATAATAGTTTACATCGCCATCACACAATGCTAACAGATACAAATATGAACAGACCTTATTCTTCAGGAAAGCTACAGAGAGCTTTATCAGACCAGCCAAGTGAAAAATCTGATCCATATGGTGTTGGTCAGCTCAATGAGCCTACTGAAACACAACTTTTACTTCCTACTCGATCAAATAATGGTACCATCGGGAACCATCCTACAAGATCACGCAGAGTAGGTGCTGGAGCTTCAACCAAAGGTTCTGATACCAACTTTTCAGGATTAGGTAGGATTTGGAAAAAATCAAATGTCAACGAAAAAACAAATTCAGATAACATGAGTAAGTATGAATTGCAGTCAATTCCATCAATCTACTCCTCAGTTCTTTTACTTTTAACCTGGTTTGAAGAATGCGTTTTACATATTGGAATATTGGTTTACTTGAACGGACATCATTCGTTCCGCACTAACTTGTTATGTCCTGTAAATAACACTATAAGTCAAAACGCTGGTATTTATTCACCAGTTCATTACTACTCATTTTGTTGATTTATGAATTTGCACAGTTGTTACTACTATGTCTATTCTTCAAATTATTAGTTTCTCTTTTCTTCGAAGGTCCCTCGAAGAGGCCCAATGCGCCTTTGGCAAGTCGGGAAGATTCTTGGTTAAGCGATATACCCAAATCGTCAGGACATCCAGAGTCCTTTACCTCATCTGAAGCAACTACCACAGGTAATAATACCACTGACATGTCCGGGATATCACCTTCTAATAATCCATCGCGTAATGTGTTTAACTTTGGGCGTCAAAATTTGGAAGGTATCCAGTTTAACTCTCATAAAAATGATAACATAAGTCGGAACTTTGGAACGAATAATGACGCTGAATATCTGCTTGATCCACCTCCCCCTCCACCTACCCAACAACTAGGTATAACAGATGACTACTTACAGCCTAAAACTAATGCTGCTTCAAAAATCTCAAATACATGTGATGGTGGATTAACAAAACAAATGAATTACACCGAGTTGGGTCCACCGACGTTTCACGACACACCTACTACAGGTTTGTTCACATACATATTTCTTTTTTTATTGTACATTTACATTCATAATTTCTTTGCCTTCAAAGTTTATTTTGATGTGGAATATTTTACTATTAATTTACTAAAAGGACCGTAAACAGTGCGGAGTGTCGTCTAACAGCGATTTAGTTCTGTGCAATTTAATATTAGTTCTCATGAGCGTCATTACTAATCCGGTTAATTCAGCTCTGAATTTTGCATTGTTTGAAATAAATGATGAATCTGTGATTTCATAAGATTGCCAATATACTGAGCAAATGGACGATACGACGGACTTTATTAAGTAGCATTACTAAGATTCTAATGTTTTCAGCCCTAGTTGATGACGCATTTGTTTAAGTAAGGATATACTATAAAAACAGACCGAATCAGGTGAGGCATTGAAAAGTTCATCTCCTTAATTAAACAATAAGCTGAACATAATCTCGACGAAAGTGAGCAAAATACATAAGTATCAGCTAAACTGATATGATTAATTGGTTATATAGAAGCTGATTTAAAATGTTAGACAAAAATTATTAAACCCTACATATGAAGGAAATGAAAATGGAATAAAAGTCTCCATTCGATAATGAGGTAGTTATTATAAACAAAAACCCACAGCATGTTACGCAGTCATATCTTACCACCATCCATTACTAAACCTTTTCTTTAATAAACAATATTCACATCTATACATGTACATTATTAAAGAATGAGAACTAATTTGTTAGATTAACTAACAATTTTTTTTTCTTTTTCTGTATACCTGCCAGTTAAGTGGAATTTTTAAGAGAGAAATTTCTCAAGCATTGGTTTTTTGTAAGGATTTTGTTTGATTAGTTCGAGGATTTCATCATGAGCCGACATCGGTTAGAGAACCATTCGAAAACCTGGGAGTACTGGAGAGCTGTTTCCTCCTAGTTTGGGACTTTTCATCAGTACGAACCCATCGGGGGTCGGACCCAGGACCTTCTGGTTACAAGACGAGCTCGTAGACCATTAAGCCACTGTGACCCTACCAACATCTCAATGGATTTTCATTATCAAATATAATTTGATTATTACTTTAATCTATAAAGCGCTATGCGTCTGATAATGGACCTAGTAAGCGATTATCTCCAAGTAGCGCTTCACAATATAGCTCTGTACTGGTTATACTTGACTGTCTAATTGCCAGTCGAGCAGAAAACACGGTCATTCGTGATCTTAATTTTATTCCTCTGTTTCACTTTTCAGATGAATATTTAAACCCAAATATGCAACAACCAGAAGAGTACTTATCTCCAATTCTTAGTGGATTTGGCGTAACCAATCCAGAGTACTTAATGTACCCCAATAGCCGCCAACAGGAATGTGACCAGGAGAATATATCGAAACAAATCAGGAATACCACTAGTGACTCAACATATTCGTCAAAGAATCAGAATAAAACAAACCAGGAATAAATTATTTTATTTTAGTATCGGCCACTACTGTTGCCACTTCCGCTGCTAAAACTCGTGTTTCTAACACTGAGAAGTAACTACATAGTTACTTTATTGAGAATATTAAAAATACTGCTACAAATATGACTAGCAGTTGATTTGTAATTTCAATCTTTATCTATGCTTCTAATCTACCGTCTATAAATTTCCAAGACAAATTTGCGGTTATACACTAGTTTTCTATTTATATCTAGTGTACTGAGTTAGACAATGAGAAATTACTATTGTTCAAACCACTGCAGTCCTAAGAGCGGTAAAACAACAATCCGTTCTAGCATTATTTTCACTCTTTAAATGTCGACTGTTTTTGATTATTCGGATGAATGTAAACTATGCCAAATATGAAATGAAATAGTTCAGATGCTTTTACTTCAGTTGTTTTTGTTTTAAATAACTGCAATTATCACAGGTAAAAATTAATATTCAGTGAAATTCAGCTTTTTTCTGCCATTATCTTCAAATGAACCAAACCTACAGTACAGCAATGACTCTTTTTTTTATATGTTTCTTGTTTTTCCATCAGTATTTTTTCATCTGGAGTTTACTGATAGTATATGTTTTGAAACACTGCTCTACTTTATATCAGCTTTCGTCTGACAAGATGTAACTTCGTTCCTCTGCTTTCATTTTCCTCAGCTAGTCTCTGTTTCTCTTCTCTTCTTTGCCCTGACTTGCAATCGCTTAAATTATTTTACGCACTCTGACGAAGCTGTTTGCTGTATCATTGTTCGACTATCATCCATTACTTTAGTGAGGCAGTGATGAAAATAGACTGGACCGTCTATATATCAACTATGGTTTACAGCAAAGAAACACTGCCTCACTGATCAATTTTGTTTTAGAACAATTTTATGTTCTAGATGCATTTATTGTTGAGTTTGATGAGTGTTTTTTTATTGTAAATACTTTAATTTCACCTGTGTTTGCATGTTGTTTTATTTGTCTTATTCTTAGAAATCATATATAATATTTCAAGTTGAATCGTTACTAAAAAGTGGGGACTCGATAGTTTTCTTAACAAATTTTGACTACTAATATATTTTTAAGTAGGAAGTTAAGTGCTACCAAAATAATGTTGTTTCTTTTGGTATTTTGTTAACAAAAAATATGGACTTCTACACCAAGATTATCTTGCCCACATATGCTGTATTTAAAAACAATCGTTTGTTGTTAGAGAAAGACTGTCTTTGAGTTTATACGCTGACTGATTAAAGGAGAATGGGAGATATGAGTGTTGTTTTTCAATCAATTAATACTTATAATTCTGTCAACCTGCAGAACAAAAATGTATAAAATCGTGGTTGTACAGTTTTTAAGAATGAAATTGCCGGAAAAACATCTTTGCTGCAGCTTTTGTTTTCTTTTTTATAACATTTATAATTCAGTACAGTGCTTCAGCTGAAAAAACGCTGTTAATTCGCTTATTTCCAATGTTCTGTAAAGAAGAATGAATCTGACAGCGGTGTGATTTAATTGTGAGAATAGCATTCACGCTGGCTGTTTGTAGTACCACCAGAATTATGAAATATTCTGTCCACAGAATGCAGATTCTGATTTGTTTACCACCGCATTATTTTGGTGGTTACAAAGAATTTCTGCCTACATATACTCTATTTAGCTCCGTTGCTAATAAAATTTAAATTATAGTAAATATTGCAGTATATTTTCTTGTTATTGAGAGACAGGAACCCCAAAAAGGGAAAATGTAAAAAATTTCTTTATTTTATGTATTGGAGAAACCTGTGAGAAGAAACCTTTTAGTACTGAGTAACTGAAAACTATAAAAAGGAATAATATGCACATTACTACCAAAATCTTTTCAATAATTGTTAAATCTCGGTATCTAGAAGTGAAAATATTGTTAAAGGCTGTTGATAGGCCTTTTATCATACAACCGTGGATCAACAAAGATGGAAACAACAAAATGTAACCACCGAACATTTTTAGAAAGTCGGAATCATGCATAATATGACCATGCTGAATAGCAATCGTTCATAACTAATACGTGTAAATACTATGGAGGTGCATCAACTGGTCGCTAAATAAACAAGTTTGTAAAGTAGGTCACATCACTGAATGTCAGATTTAGTCTAAATACCAGAACATCAATGTACCTTGCAAAATGTTTTTTTTTGTACACCTATACAGGATTTCTAACAAGTCAAAGATCATCATCCTTCTTCTGTTTTCACAAATGGTTGACGCATAAACCATAGATCTCAAGCTCTTTGAGTTCACGTAATGGAAAGTATAAAAACTAACTCATAAAGGTTTAAGGCAGGATTTCTGACTATGAATGGCCAACTCTTAACATTTTACCACTCTACAGGCTTAAAAATGTACATCTGCAGTTACGCGTCGGTATTGAATAGTGAACCCCGCAGGTAGTTAGACAGGGTTTAATGAATACTTCACTGGGTTCCATATTTACAAGTCTTCTCTTATCTAGACTAGAAAATAATCAAATAAATTAAACCTGTATTTCAACAGTTAACACACAATAGTAAGTTTTTGCTTTCGCTTGAAATATAGCCTAAAACAAAAGCTTACTATTATGTGTAAACTGTTGAAATATAATTATAACTTATTTGATTTTTTCCACAATGCTCAAAATTTTCACTGACATTAATCGAAAATTATCCTTCAGACAAATTTATATGATTATTTTGTATGTGTACGTACATTAAATTTATCAAAAAAAAATACAATGAGTAAGTTTTTAGGTAGAGTTAAGTAATACGAAAAGTATTCAGAGGAATTAGATGTTGAAGTAAGAGGGTAGTAACAATAGTAATGCGTTGTCACAAATGATTGCTAAAGAAGAGTTACGTAGTAACATGATTAGTTTGATGGAAGAGTTGTGCTCAGGGTGGACATGGAATTAAAATAAAATACGGAATTGCATAAGAGTTTTAAGTAGTTAGAAAAACAAACAAAAGTTAAGTCAGATCAACACAGTTGTTACCATGATAGTAGAACTGGTTGAATAATTTTCTTTTGCATGCATAGCCCTGGTTCTTCTAACTGAGTGATTAGGGCTTCTGCAACGCAAAGAAGACGAAAACGCATTGTCTTCGGCAGGCTGTTCTTCACTTTGTACATTATTTTGAAGGAGGCCTTTGTTCAGATGGGATGACCTGTGATGACGAGGCGTTCGATTACTGCACTCCCTATACGGCCACTCCTTAATGCGACCACGCCGGATAGTGTTCTTTGTCCGTTTTGACAGTATGCGCATAAAACGATCGATGTTCGTGGCTCCATAGCAAGAGGTGAACTGATATAACGAAATAGAAGTGGACAGGTGCAGGATCTTGTCCTTTGGGCTCCTGCAAATCAGTGGGCGACTGAAGAACACTACTCTCAGTATTGTCGCGAAGAAACTTCTTAAAGAAGTGAAAAGTCTCCTCTTAAGGATATCACTGAGTAGGTCACCTTTGAAGTCGAGGTTCATATAAAGTATCTTATTTGGAATGAGTGGTGTCTCTGGCTTTTGGATTTTCTGTTTTTCTCTTAGTGGACATCCACTTTGTATGAAGATTTCTTCCAGGAAGTGTAGTTCCAGGGTATCAGAGCTGCAGATGCGTCGGACGCGAGTAGCAAGAGATCCAGTAAGGTTTCTTTTCCGACTCATTGGTAGCCAGCTGTAGAAGCTTGTCAGTTGTCCGTTCTATGCGGGTTTCCTATGGATGGATCTTCTTAAAGTTCCGTCAGCTCTTCTTGTAAGTTCAACATGATGAAAAGGAATTTTAGATCCGTTTTCTACTTCAAGAGCAAACTTTGTAGCTAAATGGCAGTTGTTGAATATTTGTAGTAACTGATTAAGATAGTGACCTTCATCACAGATAATAATACATATCTAGCATACAATTGGAAATTATCAGTAGTTGATTTGAGTGGGTCATTCTCGAGGTCTGCCACGAAGCAGTCTCCTAGCAATGGGCCCAGTGGAGATTCCATCTTTTTGTCTGTAAATGACATCGTTGAATGTGAATTGAACATTAAGTGTACATCTCAGTAGTAGTTCTTTTAAACAAGCTGTCGGTAATCCGATGTTCAGCTGGTTTACGTCGGTGGCACAGTGGTTAGGACTCTCGCCGACCATGCATATGGTCCGGGGTTCGAGCCCACGCCGGCGCACACCTGATATCTATGGTCGGCCTGCAAAATTTGGGCTACCGATATCCATGCTGAAAATTCCATACTTGTACCAAAAATACAGTGTGGAATCAAGCTGTAAATAAAAAATAAAAAAAAAATAAAAATAAATATATATTGACAAATGTGAAATACAGTTTCTGTAAGTGGAACGTTGGTAAATAGTGACTAATTGTCAAGAGAAAGCATACTTTTGATATGAGTATAAAGCTTGGACACTGTGGTAGAGTAAAACTGCATTATAGATAAGATTTCATTTTGATAAATCACACAGTGTTGTACAGAAATATGACGTTTCAAGCAATAATCCTATCTATAATGGAATAAAGAATATTTTTGTTTGTTACGTTGATATCTTGTATATAGTCGACGAATTTAAAGGTGTCAGGAAGCGAATAGTGGCACATCTATTTCCGTACAGGTTCTAAAATATCAGCTAACCATTTCTCTATTGAATGGTACGGGTGATCTGACACATCTAAAATTTCACACAGGGGAGGCCAGCTTTATGTGTCTTTGGTAAACCGTATAGCCTTGGTATTATTGATCCAGTCGGTCGAATTTGATCATAAACTCCATCACTGATTAACTGTTCGGTTTTCATTCATTTAAGAACATCAGTGAGCTGTTTTTCGATCAGTTCTGGATTAATTCTTATATTGGATGGTTGTGGGAATTTAGTTTCATCTGACAGTATGTTATTCATTTTCTCTATGTAGCCTTTTCTGCCCATAAGGACCACGCCAGCGCCTTTACCTGGGCGGGTTATTAGAAGTTGTGTTCTTTGTTGTATTTCAGTTGATTGAATTCTTCTCTGTGTTGTTTTGTTAAGTGGTTTTAGACCTTTGGTTTTGTATTTAGATATTGATGACAACAATCGATTATTGTTGACTTGATTTGTTAACCGAACGAAACGTTGGAATTAAATATTTCATTTTCACTGAGATTTTACAAATATGATTTTTTACAAATGATTCGATGTAGTTTATATGAAACTGTAGTTTATTACTTAAATCCTTCCCAGGACAAGAGAAATAATTGTGAGAGATTTATTTTTCAGGTGAGAACCAAATGTTGTGAAAAAGTGTCTTAAAATGGTTATTCAGATAACCCTATATAAAAAAGGGATGAGACAAATTTATTTTACTTCCAAACATGAAGAGGATTTACAAGGGAGTAAAGGTGATTTAGAGGTGACGTAATCGGTAAATTACTTATTCATGAGTTAACAAAATCATTCACAGAGTTTGCAGTTTTGACATGAAGGCTGAAACTCAAATTACCAAGGCTACCAACTTCTTAAAATGTTTATTGTTCACACTGATTTTATGCAATGAAGAATTACATTATTCATCCTGTGAAACACATATTAGGTTGCCTACAAATATTCCATATAGTATAAGACTCTTAATACTCATAAACTGATGCAGCATTAACAACTGGATGACGCTTCGAGCATAAATTAATGTTCATAACCATATCGGAATCGATGTGGAATTAAAATCTACCCCAGTGCCAAGGTTCTACACTTGCATTATTGCCCATAGATGTGTACATCGAGAATGATTAACACCGCTCAGACATTGAACATTTGTTTAACACCATGTGTAGCGCATTAAATGACTGATCGTAGACTTCAACAGTAATCCATACAACAGAAGCTACAGTAACCGAAATCACGAAGACAAAACTGCGAGTACAAAAGAAAAACAAGTGAATTCACCGCTACCAATCAGCTTCCTCTAGCAATTTATAAACTACCAACCGTCCTGTCATCTCACACTTTTCAACAGTTAATTCACATCCGACTTTTATTTATCCTCCTATATCATCCTTTCTTCACAAACAAACCTATCCCATGCATCCATCATTGTGTCAATTACATTTCCGGACACCAACTTCGCTGTCCACACGCACACACACACACACCTACATAAATTATATTTCTTCTTCCCACTATTTGTGTTCACATTTATCCACATCAACTTCATTATTATATTGAGTAGAAATTCAAGTTAAACACTACTTATCACACGAATCCACTGTTATACAATTCATTGTCATTTGAGATCATCTACTTCAACACAGACTACTCGGTTTTGAATTCACACACACACACCTTCAAATGGAAACAAATGCTTTATTGAGGAGACTGTATGACTGTTCTGACACATCCTCCCATGGAAACTTCTGTTCGACGTTATGAAAGTCCTACTGTTATTAGCACACACACACACATATGTCACATAGCCCACCTGGTAGATCGCTGGTTACACGTTATACGGGTTTCCTTTTCACCTTCAACCATCATCCACTAGACATTTATTCCCTAACTACCTAATGTAATGTATGGCTTAAGAAGCTGCAGAGTACATCCAACAGTTTGATTGGACACTGGTTAGTAACTAGAATCATGTGTATAGTCCTTTGTTGAGTGCAGACTGAATTCTTATATCAGTCAAGTTAGCAATGTGGCCACCACGTCACTAGGTGGCTCACCATCACAATGCACTTTGAACTGTTGTTATTAGATGGTGTCCGTGTTGCAAACTTGACTGATAGAATTCAATCTGTACTAGACAAAGGACTGAACCCTTGATACTAGTTAGTACCTAGTGTCGAATACAGCCCTACAGGAGGTCAATCACGAGCTCGAATAGCTCAGTGTCAATGTCTCTGACTGCAACACTGGGTGACACGGGTTGTAATCTCATTGGGGGACATGAGTTCCTTGGAGATTTCAGATATGCCTTGTTGAGTGGTGAGTGGTAAAAACCACGGAACCTTCGTCTAGCCAGGACTTTCTGGCGACCACCTTCAACGGTCTAGTAAAACCAGTACCCAACACTTTAATTTATCATACGAATCATCAAACAAGCGCAAGTGTTATTGTTTTGTAAGTAGTGTTGAGGAATAGGTATTGTGGGCAGTCTCTTTCTAATTATCTCATAACTGTAATACACGATAAGGTTTCTGTGAGAATATTAATTTGTAAAATAATACATACATCAGATTTCAACACTCGCTATGTGAACCTACCTAACAAACAAATTCGGATGACTTGATATGGTATTTTTAGTTATTAGACCTAATCGATTTTAAGATAAGATCAAAGTTTATCTTATTGGTACAAAAATATACAGATGGAATCGATGACGCATTACAGTACTATACAAATATTCCGAAATTTGCTCCATTTTATCAGAAATCAGCCAATGGTCCAAGGAAAACGGTCTCACCTTAAACCCCTCCAAATTCCAAACAGTTAATTTCACCTTTAAGGCACAAATCTGACCTAAACAAACTGGTTAGCACTCACGAGGTGTGCAACATAGATGGCACTGAAATTGAAACCAAGTCGGAAATTAAATACCTAGGCGTCACTCTATCTTTTCTGGTCGTCTCATATCTTGACGATTTCTAAGAAAATATTCCGTCTTACCTTCTACATCAAGAAGTTAAGACATTCTGGTGTAACCCAACCCTTACTCCTACAATTTGTTAACTCCCGTATTCTGCCTATTATTCTCTATTGTTTCCCCTTAGTCTTTCCTCGGCTATTGAAGAAAGACTATACATTATTACGTAGGATATTAAAGGTTGTCAGCAGAATAAGCAACGTGCCACTTAGCCAGCTCGTTGATATTCTGGTGGACAGGCACTTGGACTCATGTTAAAAATGGGCTAAATCCATTCTATCTATCTAACTCATAACACCCTTTTCATTCAAAACTCTCCCCATGTATCTCTTCAGGGAAAACCAGAAGCCTATATAGGAAACTATATGCCCGCACTAGTAAGTACAGAAACTCATCCATACCCTACCTAGCTCGTGTTCTGTGTGATAAAGAAAGCATTAGGCGTGAAACCTTTAACTTATCAAATAGTCAGTAGAACAAATAGATCTCGTCTTTCCAACTAACATCATTTCTCTCTCCTTTTATTCTCTCTCTGTATTTATTTTTGTTACGTGTTGTTTTGTTTCTCTCTTCCTTATAAACTCTACTTAAAACATTCTTGTTCGTTTTTTCACACTCTGTATATCTCGATCATTTTGCTATCGCTTACGCCAGTAAATATGCTAGTAGTATCTACTTTTCTAACACCTTCAAACACTGTTTAAATTTTGGCTTTGCTGCCGACATGCTAATATGTTGTTGTCAAAACTGACTGAGATAACTTTATTCTATGTAGAACTTTATTTATTGTTAACGTACTAACTGGATGCAATATTGTAGTAAAAATGCTGAGAATTCCATTCTGTATCACAAGTACTGATTTGGAATAAAGCTACTATCTTATCTTATCTTAAGTACGAGCATTTTGTGTAAATAGCAATTCAAGAAGTCGAAAGATAAATGCTTAAACTCAGATACAACATACAGGAAGAATGGTAACAAGTATTCCAAACTACATATTGATGCATACATCAGTTTAGCTTTGGAAATAGTTATAAAGGAGTTTATTAATTCACCTAAGATGTTAATCGAGCACTTAGTTATGTCTGACTTCTACTATCTTTAAGTCTCAAAAGAAAAACCATATAAACATAAGATAGAGTTATAGAGTACAGTATCTCTGTACTTAGTAGATATATTTGTACGCAACCACTAACATATGGCTTTACGAACACTGCGTACTTCACCATGACATCCATAATGGACAGGACATCTAACCTGTTATACACCTTCTAAAACTTCTTAAACACCTACTTTAAAAAATTCCCGAGTGCTTTTAATGATTAGTCTCGAAGACTGAATTCAAATAAATATTCTGCAAAAGTATTTCACGCTTCCATAGAGTAACGTACGCATCCTTCTCACAACTATATTGTTGCAAACCAGAAGGCTATACTAAAACTACCACCACATTACAACTTCAGAGTGATTTCGGGAATGCCACTGAATGAGATAACATGATTTCCTGTTTCGACCACTGATGGCAAAAGTTGAAAGGAATAATTAAGCCGAATAAGAAAAAAGATAAAAATTATGCGAAGAGTTTTGTGCATTATTTCATATCAAGGTGATATGATTATGAGCAATAAATTGTGCTCGAAACGTCATCAGTAAATATTACTGTATAACACTGTGAGACTTTATCAAAACAAAAATTTACTCATAATGGAATTACACGCAATGCTAATAATAATAACCACTTTATCCCAAATGATAATGCGTATACAGAATAAAATCTTTCGGAGTTACGTAATCAGATGAAAACATCCTGGTAAACCGTCAAGAACAAATAGCCAGTAGTAAAATCAACGCTTAAATGCTAAGTCTGCTTTGACAAAGAAAACTGACACGACTGATATTGGTTTACGTCCTCTGTCTCTTTTTTGTGTTATCCATTGAGAAGAAACAAAGTGTAGAATCTTATTTTCAACAAATAAGTGGTAAAAAAAAGTGACAAATACTTCGAAGTAAAAATATTTCACATCTAATTTGTTGACATAACCACAAACATCCTTTTTGTTAAGAATATCTTGGTCAGTAACTCTGCTTAGCATAACCTGCTTACACAAATATACTGGACTCAAATCAAACAATGGAGAACGTGTGTGTATGTGTGAGGGGGAAAGAAAAATGGAAATCTACACAAGATTATGATAAAGACAGTCATATGACAAAGTACTTTGTGCACAGACAACGTTATATATATATATATATATATATATATATATATATATATATATATATATATAATATTACAAACTATCTGTTAGATCAATAATTTAGTGTAAGAGCCTATCGATTTAAGTCAAATAACAAGCATTTCAATTGTGTATAACTGTATATGCCAAATTTCTTCTTTGTGCTTAATTTCTGAGATGTTTTGAACATACAATTATCAATATTGATCTTTATTCAATCTCAGGTCTCATAGTTTAATAAATTTTGCTTAGATTATTTACTTAGTGAATCTGGCATAAAATGAAAGGGGTTGGCTAGTCTATTAGACATTGGATACAATTTAACAACTTCCAGTACCAACGATTAGATATGAGTCCTGGACGTTCTGAAAAATAAATCACTGATGTTTCCACCAGTATTAACCAAGACCTAACAGTTAGTACTGAGGTAGAGTTGACCAAGAAGTAATTTGGGAATCACTTCTGCACCACGTAGTACCCCAAACCTCTATCAACCTCATTCAACAGTTATATGACGACGCCACGTATCAGGTGGTATACAGCGGAAAACTCAGTGAAACCTTTGAAGTGAAGACACCGCTGTCCACCATCGCAAACGATACCAGTGATAAGTCAGTCGGTGCTTCTATATGGGTCGAAAACTTGCACTGAACTTCACCGAAAACCACTTCCAACTGGTTGCAGACCTTTATTAACAGCTGTCTGCTCTATATTGAAGATTAGATGGCGAGGAACGAACCAACCAAGGACCTATTGCTCCACAAATATGTAGAGGAAAGTGTAGTTGGGTTGGATATACGCTGAGGAGACCATCGGATGACATAGTACATCAAGCTCTCAAGCAGAACCCAAATACGAGACGGCCAGTGAAGTATCCTGTGGTGACATGGAGATTGCTCAGGAAGATGGTAGACCATGGAGAATCGTGAGAACAGCCAAAGAGGACCGCTGTTGAAGACCTATGTTCTAATCGGAACCCGAGCGAAAAATTATAGTAATACAGGTTGGTACTGAGTATACTGAACCAAATTTAGTGGTAATTTTGTTAAACCTGACAATATTTTCCAACATCAGACTGAGTTTCACAATAACTACCAGAAAGTCGTACTCCTACGGAAAAACCCTCCTCAAACGTCTACAATATGCAACACTTGAAAAGGTCACCGGCTATATCAGTGCTAGACAGCAACAACTTAAGTCAGACAACGTTTACATTAGTAATTACTTTATCTTTCAAGCACTTAACTATGATACGTCAAACCCAAGTTCCAACTGAACAGTCTACGCACAACACTCTTTGGAATTCAAAATAGCCGACTGATCAGAAACGCTTTTTCCATAATCTTTACATATCAATAAAACCACCACGTCAACAGAAAGTCCTTATTAGGTTACACTGAAAATCTAACAAACCTGGCCTTATAAATACATGTAATGACATTTCAAATGAATAAATTTCTGTTGGCTCGTCTACTACCTGCTGAACTCTCTTCAGTGTTATTCACCCAGTGCATCATTACAGTATTGAAAACTGAATAAACTTTCCAACTTAGAACTTTGAGCAAAACGTCACCTTATCACACTTCATGCAAGCACACATGAAGGTAGGGAATAAGAGAAAACAAATGTAATGAACTGTGACAAAATGAATTTACGGAAGAAATAATAATTACACGACGAATAATAAGGATTTAATCGATCTATGAGGTCAAAAAGAGTGAAAACATTTGTGACATTGCGAACAATTTCGAAACATGTCACCGACAGTCACGAACCACTAACTCTTAACGTCTCAAGAAATCCGTCAGACATAGCTTAAAACAACAGTCAAAAGTTTCATAAATTGATGTCATGTTTCGGTTGGACCACCTCGAACTCTTCTCCAACAAAATTCTACGTCACCTAATACTGCTCGATGAAGGCGATGGCTTGGAATGCATAATGCATATTACAAACAACCCAATCAATCGATGGAGCCTCACAACTGAAACATAAAATACATCGGTAACCCACTATAAACGACTTACAATATGATGGTAATTGCTTTTAGTCCAACTGCTGTCCAGGAGACTTTTCTGGTATGGTAAGACTTGCATGAACATCCGTTCCAGTCATTATGTCATGAGATCATCGCTGGTTACATGCCTAATTATCAAGTCAAAGTAGAAGCTATCAGATGGGAATAACAGCATTAGCTAAATACTGCCTGAATAAGTACATCGATGGCTGGATTTCGATAAAGAGAACCTTCACATATGTATAAATACATAGAAGAGCTAACACAAATATGGGAAATACGTGATTTGGCTATTTGAATAATAAGTACTGTCACATCGCTAAACAAGAATGTGATAACAATTTTCCAATTCCCCGTCACTTATGTCACAAACTCATCCACAAGTTGCTCAAATGACTAGGCTAAGTGAGAACATAGAAGCTAGCTTTTTGACTTTGCTTCAGAAAGCTTGACAGACGACTGGAAAATACCGTTGAGCTACTCTACTGTCAGTAGGGAGTTACATTTCTTCAAGGCATGGAAAATTCCCGTGTGGTTTAATTAAGAACACTGGACTGGTGTAGTATAATTCAAGTTCAATTTGCTCATTTCGCAAAATGTCTAATTCACTTGTGAGTAAAAACATATTAACACTAAGATACTCAATTTCGTTGAAAAATTCTTTACGGAAATACATGCTATTGGCGTTCTATCAAGTGACTAATCAACGAAGTATTAACAAATAAGTATGCAAAAAGTTTTTTTTTTAATGTCAGTATAAGCAATAAAATCATTTGAATAACTCATATTATCAACTGTAGATCTACCGGTAGTTCCTATTTAATTATCCTCTTATATGTACAAAATTTGTAACATGGAATGGAAATGAATGAGCAGCAAAATAATAAAACTCAAAACAAAACTGAATATAAAAACAGTCCAAACAGTGAATTATAAACAGGATTCTAGAAATATACAAAATAGAGAAATGTGAGGAGCAGCAACGATAAAATATGAATAAAATGAGAACAAATATATCTCAATGTGCGCTGATATGTGTCAGTGAAGGGCACTAAGTTGTTTTTCAAATCAGTTATTATATAGAATATAAGTCATAATTATACGTAACGGTGACAATGCATGTGTAGTAATAGGAAAGGAGCTACGATTGAAAAAAGTCATCATCTACACCAACACATATATCTGAGAAAAAGCTTGGATCGAATGACGCAAGATTAGTTTGTGTTTCCACACTGTTCAACCATAATTCGATATCTTCATCGATTGTCTGTGTTTGGTTATGCGTGAAGTCCACACCAACTGACCAATCATGCTGTGTTGTTGTGTCGATAGAATTCAGGTAACAAAACTGCTGATTGTCAGGTAAAACAGGCATAGTACTAGTTGTTGCAAACATTTTATCTGAAGGAGACGATGACGACTTACATCTTAGCACTTGATCTGTTCCGCTGGACAAATCGTATTCATAATTTAACAAATTGGCACCAGTACAAGCATCAGAGGCAACTGACGTCTCCATATTTAATGCTTCTATAACTTTTAGAAAAATAATAATAAAAACATGCATTGTGACGGTAAGGCGATACAACAACTAACGACAATTCGGATGTGAATTCATATACAAGATGGTGGAAAGGCAGTATGAGGGCTCTATGTGTCAATAAGACGAGTAGTTAGATTCGACATTAATCGTAAAACATTCTATTTCAAGCTCCTGTATACCAGCTAGAACTTGACACCAATCACTTAATTCATTTTGGAACTGCAGTAACGGGAAATTTTAAAAAGGTACAACATAAAACACTTGTCAGGAAGATAGGAAACAAGTAATTCTTTAAAAGAAGACTATCTATGTCCTCTTATTATCAGTTATGAGACACGATCTAACTTATGAAACTATGAAAATCGTGATTGTCCTCTGATAATATCATAAATATGCAACAAACGACTTAAAGCTGTCACCGCATGATACCTTCTTCAATGGAAATTAGAAGTGCACAGTATTTCCGACTTTTTCTTACAGTTCAATTAAAAGGCAAGTGGACTTTATATCTAACACAAAGATTCGATACAGTTTATACATCAAGGTGGATAAAAATGAGTAATAAGATATTTCACTAGTGCAAAATTCGCCTATGTGTAAGTAAAAACAGATATTAACTCAGGAAACACCACCAGATAATGTAACCTAAAATAGAGAAACCACTACGCAGTGTAGTTGTGCACAACCTAGACTGGTGGCACCTAAAAACAGATGAATAATAATAGTTTTCAAGAGTTATGTTTCAGGGATCTGATTTGCCTTAAGTTTGATCACGGACCGATATCAGTTAGAGAACCATTAAAAATCGGGGAGTATGGGACATCCGTTTCGTCCCAAAGTGGGACTCTTCAGTATCGCACCCCAGGACCCTATCAATGATCGAGCGTTACCATAATCACTCGCAACAGGTTGCAGACCTTAATCAACAGCTGTCTGCTCTATATTGAAGATTAGATGGTTTGTCGGAGAGAATCACCAACAAGAAATTCTGGAAAATGAACAAAACAAGAACTTATTGCTATACATATATGTAGAGCAAAAGTGGAGTTTGGATGGTTATACGCAGAGGAGTCCGACGGATGATTTATCACATCAGGATCTCAACCGGAGCCCAAATGGCAAAGGACAAGTGGAGTTGTGTAAGTAAAAACAGATATTAACTCAGGAAACACCACCAGATAATGTAACCTAAAATAGAGAAACCACTACGCAGTGTAGTTGTGCGCAACCTAGACTGGTGGCGCCTAAAAACGGATGAAAGCCCACATGGAAAGGACAATGCTTGCATTTTAATAGCTTTTGTCCACATAGCTTTAAACGTGGTCTAGTCAAAACTTTGTACTATAGAGCGAGGAGAATATGCTCTAAAGAGAAACTAGAGGAGGAGTTTGAGTTCCTTGAAATTATATTGAAGAGAAATAGGTATCCTCAAAGGTTCATTAACAAGTATGGAAGATCTGAAGTCACAAATGCCAAACAAATCACAGTGGGTAAAAAGCCAGTCTACGTTCAGCTTGATTATAAAGGTGAAAATATTGCAGCGATGATCAACAGAAGGCTGAGTACATCACTAGCCATAGCCTATCCTGCAGCTAAGCTCGTTCCCGTCTATCGAACAACTTGCTCTTTGGTGCAATCAAAAATCGATAGATATCCTTCTCATGTTACCTCCAACTGTGTATACAAATTTACATGTATCTGCGGGAGCAGTTACATTGGAAGGACAGAAAGAAGGGCATATCTACGATTTTCTGAACATGTACCAAAAAGCTTACGTCTAAAGGGAACAAATGCTTTAAACAGTGCCATCATCAGGCATCTACTTGACACGCGTCATGAGGTGGACGTTGAAAAGTCGTTCAAAATTATCAATAAGCAAAATAGCTCAATTCTCCTTAGGTTTGCTGAAGCCATTTCCATCAAGCGCCTGAAACCTGATTTATGCGTCCAGAAAGAAGCGGTTATCAGTCTTTCTTTGCCCTGGTAACTGGATAATTTCACCTCTCTTTCCTCCGAATGTGAAATGCTAAAAGTTTCCATTGTGTTTGATTATTATTGTTCGGAATAGTGGTTAATATTGCATATTTATATATGTATATATTTTTAGTGTATGAGTATATTGACCGATTGATTTTTGTTTGAACCTAACTCTGTGCAAGTACGTTAAAATTGTTGTTGTAGATATATTTAATAATGTCTTTGCCATGTAAGCAGCTGACGAGAAGGCAACGAAATAAAAGATGGTACCATTTTATTCTGCTAAAACTGTAGTTCTTGCTTTGTTCAAATTGAATAATAATACTTTTCAAGAGTTACGTTTCAGGGATTTGATTTGCCTTAAGTTTGATCACAGACTGATATCAGTTAGAGAACCATTAAACATTGGGGAGTATGGGACATCCATTTCGTCCCAACATGGGACTCTTCAGCACCACACGCCCACAACCCCGCCAGCGGTCGAATCTGAGGCCTTTAGGGTGAAAGTTCAATCTCGTTGGTCGTTCAACCACTTGGGTTGGAGATTTAGCGATCCGTAAATTCTAACTTCTGTCAATAGCAATTAAGCGAATCTCAAGAGGAATAATGGAATAACAGAAAGAATGATCATAAAACAAAATGTCAACACAGTGAAGCAAGATGTCTAAACTCGTTAGATATACACAGAGCTTGTTAAGATTTCATAGAAACTCACTTGATGGCTGCCTGTCTAGATTTTCTTGTTCTTCCAATAAACGATGTAAAGTTTGGCATGCAGTGCTTAGATGAGTACCAAGAGAAACAGTACTTTGTGGCATAGACACAGGTGGTGGAGGTGTTTCAAGCATTCTGTTGAGGCTAAAGTAAGTACTACGGTCGACGTGATGACCATCGGTAGCTGCCTCAACACTTAGCTTTTCTACTAAATCAGTTTGCATAGATGCATTTTCACGTGGAGGTACCAGTTTTGCTTGAATTTCTTGATCTACTCCACTGCGCAAACATCCGGCAAGAGGAATGTAACTGACTGTCTGAACCGAATTTTCGATTGAATTTTCCAACATATTTGGTTGATGTTTATTCAGAGAATCCAAATGAGGAAACTGTTCGTCGGGGGCTGATAGATTATCCTCTGGTTTAGCCTCGTACGATCCTAAACAAAAAGGATGCAATGGTAAAAGGACACAGATAACATTATGAAAATGATGACGTCTAATGGCCTGAATACACAGAAAAATAAACAATGCATGATTGAGTATTGTACAGCACCCAACTCAAGTTATACAGATAGAGTAAAAATGGTGGGCAACACGAAGAAAAACAAAAATTGCAACGATGTTAGACATCGTGAAACACTACGCCAAGAGAGAGAGATAAATAAATAAGAATAGGAGAATACAACAGCTGTAGATAAAATACCGGCGTATCAAAACAGTGCGATAGTGTTAAAACTACATCAGCTAAAATAGTATGTCGATTTTCCAATTTGATTTTCCCAAACTCCAGTTATCAGTAGTCGTAGTGACATAGATGTACACATAGCTTCAATCTTTACAGCAATATTGCATTTTTTTTAATATTTCGCCTCTTCGTCTACCTTAAAGTACCCTACAAACATTAATGATACTGTTCCCATTACTTGTTTTCCGCTTTATTGTCTCCCGCTTCATAGGCGGATGGTGTAGCGAATTGGACCATCACACAACAATGGCAGGTCATATGCTAGTAACTATTGTCTTGATGACTAGCATATTAAGTGACTGGAATAAGTCAGATAATATCACATACAATAAAGATGTTACTGATTATCCACGAATCCCTGTGAAGTTGTTGAGAACCACAGACCAATTCCAATGCACATAATCCCACACTAGGTTTGTGAGACGTAAACTCTTCGTTTCGAGATTGCAGATAGAGATACCTCAAAATGAACAATTAAATTTATTATGTTCCAATTTCTTTTTTTCTTTTACAAAAACAATTCTGAAGAAAAGCAGTTGGGCTTGTAAACAGCAGTGATCCCAAGACATACTGGAACAAATGTCCATGAAAGTCTCACCATATCAAAAAAGTCCCCTGCACAGCGGTTAGACTGAGAATCGTATTATAACCTGTTATAATGGAAGAAGCATCGGCGATAGGCAACACTAGGTAACTCTTCAGACTCATCACGGAAAAAAACGGGTGGGAGAAGTCAAGTCATAAGTGAAACAATCTCGGAGAAAAACGGCACCATAATTAGCTCCCAGGATAGACGACTGGAACGCTGGAAAGAGCCTTATGAGGAGCAGTTTAATTGGCCCACAGCCACGCTCAACCTTCCGAGCATCCAACACCTCCCTGAATGGGATATAGACACAGATCCTCCATCCCTAACTGAGGTTACTAAAGCTGTCACCAATCTGAAACTAGGCAAAGCAGCGGGATCTGATGGAATGACTCCAGAGGTATTTAAGTACGGTGGAGACAGTTTACTGTCTGCACTAACTGAGGTACTAGGCAGCGTATGGGAATCAGAAGTCCCATCGAGTTGGTGTAAGTCACTGATTATCTCGATATACAAGAAGGGAGACAAGTCTTCCTGTGATAATCACAGAAGGATTAGCTTGACTAATCTAAAGTCCTAGGCCCAATAATCATGCGTAGACTAAGTGGTGCTTGGGAGGCACAAACACGGGTGAGCCAGGAAGGTTTTAGACCAGGAAGAGGGTGTATTGATCATATCTTCATCCTCTGACAGATTCTAGAACATAGTCATTCCTACCGGCGTCCAACAATCATTATATTTCTTGACCTAAAGGCGGAATTCGATTCTGTCGACCGGGAGGTTCTCTGGAGATGCTTGGCTGTAAAGGGAATTCCGAGAAAATACATTGCACTGATTAAGGCACTCTACTCGTACTCATACAGCCAGGTGAGGGCTTACGGCGAGTTGTCATCTGAACTGGTGACGACTAGTGGTGTCCGTCAAGGATGCCCATTATCCCCTTTTCTATTCAACTTCATCATAGATGTACTAATGGAATTAACCCTAAGTGACATCAGCGACTCAGGGATTGACTTGCTACCAGGGACTAATCTCGTTGACTTAGAATATGCAGATGACATAGTCCTACTAGGCGAGGACTCGGAAAAAATGCAGTCTTCTAAACACCTTGGGCTGCAACCTACGAATGTTTGGTATGCGATTCGCCCCCGCCTAATGCAAGATGATGTTACAGGATTGGACTACACCGACTCCTAGTTTAAAAATAGGGAGTGAAGTGGTAGAGCACATTGACCGCTTCACTTATTTGAGAAGTACCATCAGCCAGTGCCAACGGGTTGATCTCTGACGAAATCGCAGAACGGATACAGGGGGCTCGTTTCACATTTGCCAGTTTACGCCGTCTCTGGCGTAGACGAGATATTCGACTATCGACCAAAGGGCGGGTGTACTGCTCATCAGTCCGCCCCGTCCTCCTTTATGGTTGTGAGACCTGGCCACTGAGAGTGGAAGACATGAAAAGACTAGCTGTCTTTGATCATAGGTGCCTGTGCTCTATCTCCCGTGTGAAGTGGCATAATAAGGTGAGCAATATTGAGGTTAGGCGTAGAGTTCTAGGTAAACAGGGGAAATCAATCGACGAAGTTGTGAAGTTACAAAGACTGAGATGGTTAGGACATGTGTTACGCATCCCTGACTAGTCATCGCCTTCCTCGACTGACGGGCAATGTTAGATGATATAGGGTCAGGCTGGAAAAAAGCTAGCGGCGGTCAAACAAAAACATGGCATCAGTCAATGAAATCCACAACAGTTGGTCTAAGCCACGTAGAAAGGTTTAGACTTCCTGGTTGGGGTCCTCGGGACGGTAAAAATCTATGGTTGGAAACAATTGGTGACATGGCTCAAAATCGTTCTCAGTGGCGCAGATGCATCCACTCCCTGTGATTTATGATTTCCAATGAAACTCTTTTGTTCTTCGTTATTACTCTTCCTTTGTCTCACACCCTGCTTACTGTCTCTATTATGCTTTTCTTCTACTTTCTTCTCTTGCTTGTGTGCTACATGGAGTGTGGCGACTTGAACTGGTGCACATCGATGCAAAGTTCTACATCGAAAACAGACAGACAGACCTGTTAACACTATAATAGGGGTGTGGCATCTCGGGTTATAAATGCACTTTGTCTCGAAGGTGCTCGTACAAAACTCAATTGTGTTTATTTACCTAACCTCACCTGATCTACAAATTCACCTTACAGGTGTCAGGAGATTCTGTGGTCAGTTTGTGTAAATTTGCTGATGTAGGAATAACAGTGTCCGCTAAGGCAGGAAAATCGCTACTTCATTGGACTGCAGTAGACAACTGTATACATGTTGTCCAGCTGAACGTATCCGTAAGAAGAAAGAGAGATTATTATACTCATGAATGTCTGTTATAATCTTCACTTACGGACCAACAGACTGCATTTCACCAGAAGCTAAGGACGAGTCTTATCGAAAGCTATCTGGTTTTAATGTATTTTTTCCACAACCATATGGTCTTAAATACTGGCTGCTTTAAGACTAAATGGTTTGTGGTTGAATAACAAACACATATGAAGAATGTTTTCCATACATTTCTAAGAATTATTTCAAGAAAGTGTGAACGTGTATAACAATAACCAACTTCAAACGTTAAAAATGATCTCTTGACAAATCATGAATATGACAAAGGTGAATGGAAAACTTACCTTCTACTGTATGATGTTGGGGGAAATTCGCTTCGACTGAGGCATTACAGAATAGTCCACCAATGAATGAACTTATATCATCTTCGTCAGTGCATGTATTCACAGATATAAGTTCATGAGGTTGTGCACTATGAGAAAATTGGTGTGATACAGCCATCGATGTATACGCTTCGTCTGTTTGAGTCGATGCTTCTGAGGAGGGAGCTTTAGCATAAGCCACTGTATACAGATTACAAAAATTTTTCAAGTTTGGTTTGAGTACTACTGAAGTCCCACTGGGATTTACCAATGATTCGGGTGAACCAACCTTACATTAGAAAAAAAAATACGTATAATTTAGCTAGTTCGAAACAACTCAATTTCTTAATAGTTAAGATGCAATGAGGTTGAATAACAAACCATTAACAATCACTTTTGTAGTTGCATCTTCATCCAAGACCTTTCAACAAGAATGATAAGTAAACTATCTGAGTTCAAAACGGCGAGTTAAAATCAGATGAACAGTAAATCCCACCTGGTTGAAAAATAGTCAAATAAAACTTGATATTTCTATATGTGTAAAACTTAACCACTTCTGTAGCAAGAAATTCTATCTCAGTTTGCTAATTTGATACATCGAACACGCAGTGAAATAGTATTATCTAATGGACGACGTTTCGAACAAAATTTATTGTTCATAATCATACCAATCATAATCACATGACTTTGAAACTTCGGTTTTATAGTTTTCTTTGTTCTCTCCTATTTGTCGTAGGGGTAGTAAAATTTTCCAGATATCTGGGACAGGTTTTGAACCATTCATATTACACGTGTTTGCAGCTGATTCGACAAACAAAGCTTCTGCTTTAAATCTCCCCCTTCACCCAGTTATATTAGATTCTAAAGCTGTTATCTTATTCCATCCTATTGTATCGTTGTGTGTAATTGCATGAGGTGCTATAGCTGAACTATTCTCCAGATTTCTTATCTTATTCGGGTCAATTAATCTTGCTTTTGCTAGGTTTTTGTGCTCCACTAGTCTGACTACACCTATTCTACTACTTTGACCTGACAACCATTAGATATACTAAATTGTTTTGTTTTAAAGGTTCCACAGGATCCTTTCACCGACAAAGCTTGTTTCTAATTGAGTTTGTGGGTTTGAATGCCAGTTTTATTCCTATCTTGTTAAGAGTTCTGCGTAAGGTTTCCACAGTACCTTCTTTGTATGGAAGTACTATTGATGATTAACATCCCTTATTGTTGGTGTTGTCATTACCCGGTGTGTTTGACACGCATGTCGTCATTAATATTATTATCTTTATCACTATCACTACCATTATTATTTATTTTATTTTTACACTTCCCTACATACTTTCTGACTAATTTATCAGGGTAATTATTAGGTTCAAAGCCTCTCTTATATGCTTTATTTCCTGTCTTAGATTTTCCTTGGTACTACTTAGTTTTTGTGCTCTATTACTTAAACCTTTCACCAATCCTATTTTTACTGACATAAGATGGGATGATCGGAAGTCCAAATATCTATTTGAATGTGTGGATTTCCTGTAAACACTAGTGTTTAACTTCCTATGTTCTTTCCTTTTTACCCTACAATCTAATATTGAAAGCTCCCCTACATAACTTTCCACTTCATAAGTGAATTGAACTACCTCCACCTTTGAGCCAATGTGTTCGGAAAATCTATCTATATCTTGTGTTCTGAGTACAGTGAATGTGTCATCTACATACTTTCACCATACTTTTGGGGTGGGGGTGGACGTTTCAATAGCTAAGTTTTCTGACCTGTCCATGAATATATCTGCCACAACTGTGGATATTAGTGATCCTATGGCAACTCCTTCAGTTTGTTTGTATATTATCCCCTAGAATTTAAATACTGTGGAAGTCTGACATAGTTGCACTCCCAGCATTATGTCCTCAATCGGCACTTTCGTTCCAAGTCCAAGTTCTTGGTCAGAAATGAGTTCGTTTCTGACTGCCTCTATAGCCATATATATTGTTAAACGTGTATATAAACTGACAATGCCAAAACTAAACATTTTTTCTTCATTATCTAGTTTTCAATCATCTAATCTGTTTTAGTCAATAAGAATTTTTTAGTTTAGATTTTGAGTGGCTTTTAAGGGGATTTAATACCATGGCTAAATATTTAGATAAGTCATAAGTAGGTGAATTTCTAAAATCGACTATAGACTTAATTGGGTATCCTGAATTATGAACTTTAACAACACCATACATCCTACTGGAATTATTAGTTTTTGGCATTAAATTAAACCATTTAGACTCACCTAGAAACGGCTTCATTAGGCGTATAAGGTCCACTGTGGATTTCTTAACTTTATTCATAACGGTGTCTATTGATTTACTAATTTCCTCATATGGTCCGGTTTGTATGTGAGTATTCACCTTGTCCAAATAGTCTGATTTGTCTATTACTGTTTCATTTCCTTTGTCTGACTTTGTGATCACTATATCCTTTTTATTCTTGAGATGTTTTAGGGCTTCCATCTCTGATTTTGTCAGGTTGAACTTTCCTCGTTTTTGTCGTTTTAATGTTAGTTCACATTGTGCCCGTACGTCGTCAGCCGTTGTTTCGTCTATCCTAGTTAGTGCTATTTCTATTTTAGGGATGGCATCTGCAGGTTTCAGATTGTCTACCACTATGGTGGAATTTAGTCCCTTTTCTAAAACACTTATTTCTGCAGGACAACGGCTGACGATGTACGGCACAATGTGAACTAACATTAAAACAACAAAAACGAGGAAAGGCCAACCTAACAAAATCAGAGATGGAAGCCCTAAAACATCTTAAGAATAAAAAGGATATAGTGATCACAAAGTCAGACAAAGGAAATGAAACAAGAAGACAATTGCAGCGAAGAAAATTTTCTTTTCGACGAAGTCATCATCTAGACTGTACATTCGTGTATTTATATCAAATGGATGGGAAACTTCCAGAATAATATCCGGTTAAGGGTCAAATTAATAAAAATTACAATTAGAAATTAGAATGCCATAATAAACAGAGGGACGGATAAAACAAACAAAGTAGCATCACAGTAACTAAGAAGATTGACATTGTGCAATTATTATTATTACTATTATTGTATCCTTTAGTTCCTAGAGGAACATAGGGCTTCAGCTGCGCACCTCCATTGACTTCGGTTTTCTGACAACTTTTTCACCCTGCTCCAGGTCTGTCCACATGCTTTCATCTCCTCCTCGCATGACCTCCTCCAAGTCACCCTTGGACGACCAACTCGCCGCCTCCCTTTCGGGTTCCACTCGAGGGCTTGTCTAGTGATGTCACTTGATGGTTTCCTCAGCGTATGGCCAATCCATCTCCATTTCTTTCTGCCTATTTGTTTCACAATCGGTTCCTGATTGGTTCGCTCCCAGAGATCCCTGTTGCTGATCTTTTCTGGCCATCTGATCTTGAGTATTGAGCGGAGACAGTTGTTAATGAAGGTTTGAAGTTTGTTTGAGATGCTCTTTATGACTCGCCAAGTCTCTGATCCGTATAGTAGCACTGACTTCACATTGGAGTTGAAAATCCGGATCTTATTTTTGATGCTGAGTGCTGTTGACCTCCACACAGATTTGAGAGTAATGAAAGCTTGTCTTGCTTTTCCGATTCTGGCTTTGATGTCCTCGTCAGTTCCGCCTGTAGTTGAGACGATGCTTCCCAGGTAGGTGAAGGAGGTTGTTTCTTTCAGGTTCTTCCCATTTATGCTTATTGTTGTCTGTTGTTGTTGTTGCTGTTGATGTTGGCTAGGAATCTTCATTATCTCTGTTTTATCTATGTTCACGTGAAGTCCTATCTTTGATGCTTCTTCTGCCAACTTGTTACTTTTCACTTGCATATCTTCCAGTTTATGGGAAATCAGACATATATCATCGGCGAAATCCAGATCCTCCAAGTCTTTTGTGTCAGTCCATTTTATGCCTGTTCCCTCGTTGGTTGCCGTTGTCTGTCGCATTATCCAATCAATTGCAATCAGGAAGATCATTGGTGATAGTAGACAGCCTTGCCTCACTCCCGTCCTCACTTCGAAGGCTTCCGTAAGTTTCCCGTTGTGGATTACTTGGCATGCAGCATTGTCGTATAACTGTTGGATGAGGTGTATAATTGTCGATGGGACCCCGTAGTAGCGAAGTAGTTTCCAAATGACCTCTCGATCGACGCTGTCGAAGGCCTTTTCAAAGTCGATGAAGTTGAGATAGAGAGGTGACTGCCATTCCAAGCTTTGTTCAATGATGATCCGTAGAGTGGCGATTTGATCAATACATGATTTGTTTCTCCTGAATCCAGCCTGTTCCGGACGAAGTTTTTCATCTAGGGCTTGTTTGATTCTCTCCAGGATGATGCGACTTAGTATCTTGCTTGGAATGGACAGAAGCATAATTCCACGCCAGTTTTTACATTGACTTAAGTCTCCTTTCTTTGGAAGTTTGAATAAGTAACTGTTCTTCCAATCCTCGGGTACTTTGCCCTCTTTCCACACCTTCTCCAGCAGTGGTGTCATCAAGTCCGCTGTTGTCTCTGGGTCTATTTTCAAAGCCTCTGCTGGGATTCCATCTGGTCCCGGTGTTTTCCCAGCTTTAAGCATCTTGATTGCATTCAGGACTTCTGATTTCGTCGGGGGGTCAGTGTTCACTGGTAGTTCTGCTTCCGTTGTTGGTATTGCTGGACGTGTTGTAGGTGGCGGACGATTTAGAAGTCTTTTGAAGTGTTCAACCCAGTGCTTTCTCTGTTCCACCTCTTTGGTGATTGACTTTCCATTGTCGTCCTTTATTGGCTTAATCTGTGTCGAACGTTTGCCCGAAAGGTTCCTAGTTGTTTGGTAGAGTGTGGCGAGGTCTCCTTTGCCTGCAGCTTGTTCTGCTTCGTTTGCCATGGTTAGAAATGTAGAAATAACAAAATAGACAGGATGTTTGGATAAAAACTAATGTGATGAATAATTGTTTATGCAATCAGGGATTAAATGTGTAGAAATAGTACAATGACAAAATAAACATGAAGGCCGGGAATGAAAATATGGTAGTGTAAACAGGGATTAAGAAAAACTTTTAAAAAATAACATGACTAAACAGGAAGTTCAGATAAGAAAGGCGATGGGATTGTCATTACTAAAAAATCACCTGTTTATGATGGCCATGACAGGGAAAGGGGTTGAATACAAAGCGTGGGTTAGAGCTTTTGGATAGCTAGCACCTCGGCTATGCCCAGATGTCTTGATTTCACTCCCTTTGATGGGTTTGATTGAATCTTGTATATTGCTTTGAAGGATTTTTCGAAAGGCGCTGAATATCCTGAATTGACCAGATGTTCTGTCACCGAACTATTTACCCGTTTTCGTCCTCCTTTTACTGGCCAGGCTGGATAGTGTTCACGAGCGCGTTTTTCAAGTCGGCGCATGGTAAGGCCAACGTACTTAGTTCCACAAGAGCAAGTAAACCGGTATATGCACGTTGAGGTGGCCCAATGCGACAGCTTGTCTTTCGCGTTCTGGCTGAACAGTTTCCTGCAGTCGTAGACTAGCGGCGAAGTATGTTTTCCTTAGCGATTTTGAGGCGTTTGCGAAGGATTTCTGCTTCAATATCACCTTTGAATTCTAGATTAGGCAGAAGCATTTTCTTTGGAACGGATTGGACTTGTTCGAATACAAGGGGCTCGTTTCGCATTTGTTAGTTTACGCCGACTCTGGCGTAGACGAGATGTTCGACTATCGACCAAAGGGCGGGTGTACTGCTCATCAGTCCGCTCCGTCCTCCTTTATGGTTGTGAGACCTGGCCACTGAGAGTGGAAGACATGAAAAGACTAGCTGTCTTTGATCATAGGTGCCTGCGTTCTATTTCCCGTGTAAAGTGGCATAATAAGGTGAGCAACATGGAGGTTAGGCGTAGAGTTCTAGGTAAACGGGGGAAATCAATCGACGAAGTCGTGAAGCTACAAAGACTGAGATGGTTAGGACATGTGTTACGCATGCCAAGCCATCGCCTCCCTCGACGAGCAATGTTAGCGGATATAGGATCAGGCTGGAAAAAAGCTAGCGGCGGTCAAACAAAAACTTGGCATCAGTCAATGAAATCCACAACAGTTGGTCTAAGCCACGTAGAAAGGTGTAGACTTCCAGGCTGGGGTCCTCGGGACGGTAAAAATCTATGGTTGGAAACAATTGGTGACATGGCTCAAAATCGTTCTCAGTGGCGCAGATGCATCCACTCCCTGTGACTTATGATCTTCAATGAAACTGTTTTGTATTTCTTTATTACTCCTTTGTCTCACACCTCTGCTCACTGTTTCTATTATGCTTTTCTTGTACTTTCTTCTCTTGCTGGCTTCGCGTGCTACACGGAATGTGGCGACTTGAACTTCCGCACATTTGTGCAAAGTTCTATGTCGAAAACAGACAGACAGACAGAGGACTTGTTCGGAAGTCTTCTTAGGTTTGAGATTCTTGTCTATGAACCTGGGCGGGAAACCGTTTTCCATCAGGGTTTTTCGAAGATTACGCAGTTCTTCAACCAATTCCTCGCTGCATATCTTCCGAATCCTCGAGGAAAGAGCGTATATCAGGTTCCTCTTTCTGCTTAGGGGCACGAAGCTTTGAAAGTTGATGGATTGTCTATTCCATGTAGGCTTTTTGTATATGGCCTTTTCAGAGACTTGTTGGGGTTTCTTGTCAGATGGACGTTGAGGAAGTGGAACATTCTGTCGGATTCAGTCTCAAGTGTGAAGTCAATGTTTGGATGGGCATTATTGAAGATTTGAAGTAGGTTTTTTAAATCACAGTTCTCATCACAAATAATGAAAGTATCATCGATGTATCTCTTGTAGAGATGGAGGTCGTTGATAGTTGGTGATAAGGCGTTGTTCTCTAAGCTAACCATAAAGCAGTCGGCTAGAAGGGGTCCTAAGGCAGAACCCATTGCTACTCCATCTACTTGCCTGTATATTTCCTTGTTGAAACTAAAGTATACGTTGAAGGTGCACCGAGGTAAGTTCATTCAGGTAATGGATTGGTATACCGACATCGATGCTATTGGACTCAGTGTAGTAACAAAGGAAACATACGGTTTCTGTCAGTGGAACGTTGGTGAAGAGAGACAGGTTAACAAATGAAACAGTAATATCAGACAAATCAGACTATCTGGACAAGGTGAATGCTCACACACAAACCGGACCATATGAGGAAATTACTAAATCAATAGACACCGTTATGAATAAAGTTAAGAAATCCACAGCCAGACGCCCTAGTTCATCAGCGATGTATTTGGTTAGACATAGTTCTGACAACCAAATCACTCTAAACGACTACCTGGGGTTCAGACCATCACGTTCTGGATGGCAAGCAATACTGACTGACATAAGTGGTTTTTAACCACTCATATGAATTGCCAGAATACGCAGTCTTAAAATTTCACTTGTTTTTCTCATATTACTTATGATGTCAAAACATGTCACATTCTGATTTGATAAATTCGGTTTCCGAAGAAAACCATAATAAATTTTTACTTCAAACTGTAATTTGCAAATGACGAATTCAACTGAAGGACTAGCTCTGTTAACCATGCCATGAGAGTTCTACAGATTTGTACTACTTATCAGTATACGTAAGTATGATTTCTATCTGATTATACTGGTAATTAATCATCTACAAATGGCAGTTGTATCCCTACAATCTAATAGTAGAGAAACCATGCACAATATGAGTGATACCACTAGTGATGGCAATTCTCATCACACTTCCTGTTACAATCTGGAAGTGAATTGAGGAGTGTGAAACTCTCCTTAACAAAAGAAAAGATTCTCACCTGCATATTTGTATTGGGGTAAACTTCTGCTGAAAGTGTTCGAAGAGCTGATAAAGCGCTTGTATACAAAAAGGAATTCATATTTGAGTAGTTCATAATATTGTAGTCCATATTTCCCGCATGTAATCCGTTTGTATTTGGGACAGGCACTGGTAAAATAATTATCGGAAATAACACTGGTGCACATGTGGTCACGGGAACAGAATTACAGGAGGTAGCTGAACCAGCAACTGGTGCACATTTTGTAGGTGGTACACTTGCAGCCACTTTGGTTTTTGTAAAGGAATTAGGTAATGAAGTGTTAGGGTGCCCACTTCTTCTACAGTGTTGAAGTAGGTGCTTCTTGCTGGAATAAGATCTAAAGCAAACTGAACAAGAATACGTTGCTCCACACAATTTCTGATGATAAGCATGGTAAGAAGGTGTCGGGAAAAAATGTTTGCATTTTTCGCATTGGTAACTTTTTTGCATATGTACATGTTGGTAGTGCTACGAAAAGCATGAATAAGAAAAATCAAATATACCTGCTTCAATCTCCAATAAGTACTGAATCCACCACCTAAACTAATGTTATGTTTACATGTAGCCACTGGACAATGATAGATGTGGCTAACAGTATACCTTTGTTTGGAATAGAATGCGATATCTTTCGCATTCTAGGATGAGAAGATTCGACAATGAGTAAACTGTGGTTACCTTCATGATTTTATGAGTTTTGATTTGATGAGCTCGCAAATTTGCTTTTGTTTTCACTCTGATGCCACATAGTTCGCACACGTAGGTTGGTAATGGTAATTCAGTTAGTTCTGATTCTGAAACGACTACATGTAGAACATCTGATTCTGAAGCGGAGAAACTGTTCGCCCTGTGGACGCAACTATCATCGGATTCAGAAGGAAGAGGACGATAAACTTCACAGGCTCCCATGACCTAATATTGAGAAGAAGCTTTTACAAGTCATAGTAATACCGATATGAAATGATCAACACTTATACTCCAATACTAGTAATGTTAATAACACTAGTCTTACTCCACTCAACTAGCAAATGACAACGCAATGTTGTATATCTAAATGTTCATGTTAACAAATTACTCTTGACGTAGATATCTTTAGCATTTGTTTATATAAGCAACTGTTAATTTGGACATAATTACTCAACAAATATAGGAGTGAAAATTGATGTTATTACAACTTTCGAAGTCCACTACTTTTAATTTTAACTTAATGTATTATGTGTTACACACTGCTGAAGCCGTCAGAATCTACATTAAGCCTAACTTATGAAATCGAAAGAGGTTCGTTCAGACGCTCTCCCTACATCGATCACTAATATCTTAGTACTCTTTATTAATGCAGTTTTCTTAAATTCCATCTGACAAAGAACTAAGTGTTACAATTTTACGTGTGTGACTTGCGCATCTCCTTCGAACTGTAATCCAATTCTCAGAACATAAAAACCGTTATTAATGATAACTCTAGCATACCGTGCACATATATGACTATAGGGCCGAAAAACCAATCGAAAAGAACTTTCCCTGCTGGAAATTTCTGTTTCTAATATGTCTTGGACATATACCCAAAATTTACTGTAGGTCCGATAAGTCTACATTTAGGCACTCCAAAACGATTAATTCAAATTGCGCACTTCTACATCCTACAAATCTGATTGGTCGCTAGAGGTAGTTTCGTTTTGGGCTATTGTGAATCCCCTTGCGTTGTGATGTTTACCAGTATCATGTACTAGAAAATGAAAAATGATTACGTCACTTGTACGTCTTGAAACTACTGCTCCATATCACAGGAACTGTACACTTCAAAAAACAAAAACCTGGTATTCCGAAGTTATTGTCCAGCCCGCGGTATATTTTCAACATCCAATGCTCCATATGACTCCCTGTTGCTTCAGAATATTTCTCCTCCACCCCCCTCCCCTCGAAATGCCACGATGCTGCTAGATACGATGAGATATGAGCTTATACAACGGAATGAGCTAGACTGCTTCGAACCAACGGACATCTTCAAAGTTAGAGTTCCGCTTTACGGAACCTGGGTCTCTACATCACCCTGTCACTTTAGACAAGCTTTCCTTAGCTCCTTGCTTCCTATAACACTTCTTCAAAAAGAGATATGTGACCATTTAGTGTGACAATCACTACGAGAAGGATAATTATTAGGTGGCTTTTGGGTTTATGTGAAATGTTTCAACTGATTAGAATATGCGACTATACCGTCCGTGCAATTATTCTAGTTGTTAATCTTCGCCTTTTGCAGCCACACTGCTCCAGTTGTTTCTAATGGTGCCTTCTACTTCTACCTGTTTTTGTACCCTTTCTATCTGTGTTGTGCTGTCTGAAATCCTTGGTGGCTGTAACTCCTCACACTCTCACAAACATTTTCAAAATCATCAGTGAGTCATCCGAATGTAGAATGACTAACGTATCACTAGTTAGGCATTACTTACGACAAATGCTTAAAAGTTGTGTTTTTCGCCAATATGATAATGGGCGATGTGGCAACAAGCGTGTTGTGCTTCTGAAAATGTTTACAGAAGCGCCTTAATAGCTGAAATCATACTTTCCGTCAATACGCTCTCTTCAGCTTTATACACTGCGGCTTTTAGAGGTTGACGGTATTGACGTTCGCGAATTATACGGAATATACTAACGCAAGATCTTATACCAACAACTTCTTTAGTATTTGTTTCTCGTGTACCAAAGGTAAAGCAAAAGACAGTATTTGACTGTCCAAACTACGAGATATATTTCGGGACCAAATTGTGGAGTGAAGCGGAAGCTAAGCTGGCTAGTGATCGTGCACAAACGTGACACAAGGGAGTACCAAATGGCGAGGATGCTTGGCCGAAAGCCTTCGGTTTAACAAGTCGAATTAAACACTGAGGGTCAGCATCCTATGTTCACTGATGATTCCTATGGTCAATAATTTTGGGGAATTATTTACCTATACAGGCTCTATGTTTTCAATTGTGGATAAGATTTTATTTCGATGAATCACACAGTGTTAATATAACTGTACAACACTGTGTGATTTATCGAAATAAAATCTTATCCATAATGGACTTATACTCTACCACAGTGCCCAAGTTTTATACTTATATCTATGTTTTCAAATTCGGAATAAGTGGTATATCTCTCTAGTCAAGACTCTGAAATTCGTCCCTCGGTTAGAATGCAATTGTTCGGGAAATTTAGCAGTCAATATGGCTTTGGCTACAACAGGAACATCAGCTCGCTTCAGTATTCAAACTAAGGTGAATTTGCTCCCAAGCCTCCACTGTTATAACTGTCCTAAAATGTCCACACTATATATTTGATTCAGGTATCCGGCTTTCACATAGATAATCGGTGCTCTAAGTTCTCTCATTGGTTTCGTTATCGTAAATCATGTCCTACAAAGACAGACGAATTCTCGAACGTCTCATGATCGCCAAGGCCACCGATATCCTTGGGTGATTGCCCATAACATTTTATTTCCTCTTGCCTGCCCCAAGTCGCAACACTTTTTTTTTAAAACAGCTGTAAAGAAAGAATGAATGACTGCAACTCTCCTCAAGTAATTAGCACCTGTTTGAACACAAAAATACCGTCTGCAGTCAACAGCTAGCCTCTCAAGTTCCCAAAGCAACCCCGCTGTCAACCTCTTCTTCTTATAGCAGCCCCGGCAAGCGTTCTATTATGGCTGTACAGTGCTCCATATAAACAGTGCCGTCTCAGTTTTCGTTGCTTAGACATGTACCCACTGCTCAGTCCTGCCAACGATATACCGTAGATATCAAATTCCTCCCACAAGGGGCAACTTCCATATAATAATAATTTTATTTTCATATAAACATAAATTTACATGGTTTGAATGGCCGTCTAGATAATGCACCAACAATTTTATCGCCTCTGTCATGGTGATGCAGGCGACTTAGCCATCTGTTCTTCAGGGTCTTTAGAGTTCCACGACCAATGGAGTACACTACGAGCTGCTTTGAGCGAAGATTTACCTAAGATAAAGAGTCTTTGTCAACGACCAGTATCTTCCTAGAGATACAACTCTTTTATTTTCAATTCAAGGTGCGGTTGATGTATTATATACCAAGTTCTTTGCCATCGCTACCAACTTCGGAAAATACAGCACCAGTGGCTGTTTGACTGGAATCAGTATCTAAGATAGACTTACCGGCTTCTGTGAATGTATCTGGGAAGGTTAAAATAGATGCTTGCCATAGTGAATTTTTCAACAGACTGAGAGCACGATCACAATCCTCCGTCCTTTCTCAAAGGAATGGTTTTCCCCGTTCACCTTGTTAACGGGCTTGCTACTTCACAACAACTTCTCGCGAAGCGACGACGATACGAGGTCAATCAATGAAAACCTTGTACCTCATTCTCGATCCTTCGTATGGACAAATTTCTAACAGCTAATAATTTTTTTGGTTGCTTCGAATTCCATTCGCTGTCGCTATATGTCCATTCCTTAGGCCAAAAAGCACGATTTCGCCTTCTTAAAAACCTTCAGGTATAATAAATGCAGTCTTAGAGTAATTACGAAAACGCTCTTCAACCCGTTACTACCCTAAGGTAGAGTCAAATGTTGAAAATCAGACAGTCCACCCCAAGGCTTCCAACATTTCATCGATTCTCTGCAAATAGTAGGCTTCTTTCCATGTCACTGCATTTAATTTCATACACTTCACACAAATGGAGTGATCTGTCTTCTTTTTCAACAGACACAGAAAATATACCGAAACACGCTTTGTACAGATTCAATAAATGTAAAGGTCCAAATGCTACTGGCTATTTGGGCACGTAATAGATGTCTAAAATGATTTTATCTTGGCCTCTACCAAGTTTAAGCTCGTGCCAGTTTCTCCGTCAGAAGTACCTCGAGGCCACCACTGCATGGTCATCAAGGCCCTTTTGTTCTACTGATCCATGGATGAATGTTGGCTGACATCTATTAATGATGAAATTTAGCTCTTTTCGTGATCCATTTATCTAGGTTGCTCAGTTCTTCTTGGGAACTGATCCATTCTTCCTCATTTGTCTTGAGCCCCCTCAGCTTTACATCATCTGTATACACAATTTTCTTGATAGTCTGTGGAACTGATATATACTGACCGAGAAATTCTCCCTATTGACGTTTTCCATGTCGAATGTACCCAGTTCACCTTCATGGAAGTTCCTTTTCCTCGAAGTGAGCTCCATTCCATAATGCTAATGGATTAACAACTTCACTTTCAGAGAATCGGTAGAGTAGAACTTCATGAGACATCACGTCTTAGGCTTCGAAAGGTTCAGAAACAAGACACGAACTTTGAAGTCCGGGATTCAGTGTTTCGCAAAGTTATTCTGGATTTCTAGCAAGTTGGTAGGGTCTTTTTGATCCCTCAAAAACACACATTGAATTTCTTACTGGATAATGTTTTCCTCAGACGTTCCCGGTCTGACAATTTAACAGGGTTTTACTGCTTTTTATGTTATTGGTGGTTAAGCTAAAGGCAGATGGCGCTTTTGATTTTGTCCACCCTTTGTTGCAATATACAGTTTACAAGATGGACGACGTGCATCCACCAGTAAGTGATATCTGAGAAACATCTGGTAAGTGGGTTACTTTCGGGAGGTCCAGTGGCTAGATGAACATTACTAGAATCATCTTAGTTTACCTGAAACTCAGGCTTGTGTCTGGCATATTCCGTGGCATAGTGACTGCAAGAAAGTTCTCCGTTGTTAGTTCGGAAGAGAAAAGCTGTCTAGGAAGCTCCCGTTCTACGCAATATGGGACGCAACAAGCTACAACAACTGGTTAAAAGATTCCTATTTGCATTGAAAACAGTCCTAGCAAACCACTACCAACCATCGGATGTAAGCGTGAGTCAGAGCCCAGGACTAACTACACTGGACTTAACGCTGTCCTTAGAAGACCTTCAGCAACAATGTGCAATAACCTGCGCGAAAAAACAGAACACAAATTGGTGACTCGAGAATCCTTTATTATTGCACCAATATGGAACCAACAATGAGGTTATTATACACAAAGTCTAAGAATAAATATCATAACAATTAATCACAATAATACTTTTGATAGTATTTCTCCATCTTCTAACGAACAGCATACGATGGAACGATGACTGCAGTATCGGTGACTCCCGCCAAAATATGGAGTTGGTTTTGGGTGAACAACCATGAATGGATTGTTCGTTCTTCAACTACATTGACACTCCCCGGCAAAATACGGATCCATCCTTTTCTCTCACCGCGATCAATACACGTTGACTTGGATGCCACTGCCAGAACCTCGGCTAAAAGGAAGCTGAAATGGAAAACGAAACAATAAAGCCAACACACCACAGGCATACCCACAGCACAGTCTCATTCATCGACGACGACATGCGCCTTCAGTTGAAGGCATCCTCTTGACATCTTGCAACACAATCGCCACTAGCTAGAATGAATCTTTGACAACGCAATATGACCATAGCAGAATCTCATGATACTCTTCGCACACCCTCTTATCTATTCAGTACCAATTACCACTGCGATCGTTTGTTACTCATTCTGCCTCAGTTTTAGTTAAGGTGACGTATACAAGTCGTCTACACTTTCGCTCCCCGGCGTGTGGGACCACGGCGTAATTAGAAACATTCATTCTCAGTCACTGATTCCTCAGATAATCCTTGTCTATGAGTGAATGTCATTCTCAGCACTAGCCTCCTCGGTGTATACGACCCATCTGCTGCCTTTAACATCAATCAATCATCCATAGATGTAGAAGACTCGAAACAACTTCAGAAGTAATCACGGCGAAATTTTTAACAAAATTATGTAAAACAACGAAGTAAGAAAACAAGTAAACACAGTGAATCCAAAAACAC